TGGCTGTTGGGGGTCAGCTCCTGGGTCCTGGCCTGCATTCATCGGTGACATTGGTCTGGGGCTTTGGAAGTTTTGCCCGGTGTTTCCTGGAGTACCAGGCATTCCTGGTGTTCCCCCGGTCGTTGAAGATGGGTTATCAAAGGTCTCTCTAACAGCTTTCGGCATCATATAGAACATCTCCTGGATCAAGTCCAGAAAGGGCTGGACCTTTTCGGTGAGCTGCTTCTGGTAATTTCGTTGAAAGTCAATGATTGTCTTCATGCAAAGAACGGCATTGTCTTCATTTTCTGTCTTGACAAGATTCATTAAAAGGGTCATTAAATCGACCGCATATGGCTCCAGAGCTTCTATCGGCGAGAACGGAAATCGATGAATTGTATCTAGTATGATATTTCGTAGTTTCTGTATTTTTTTGTCAGATGAAATGTGCGAATCAGGGTACAAAGTGGCAATTGCTAACCTGGTCAGGTGATGTAGATATAAACACCGGTTGCCCATTAAGTATCGTGAAAAACACGGGCATAAGCTTTTGAAGAAATTTTGTGTATTCCGCAGGGGCATGGGTGAATACGTCGATTGAATCCCGAAGCTCGCCTGCTATCTGAAGCTTGAGTTTGACATCTATTCTCAATTTCATTAGCCACCGCACACCGGTTTTCATTGTCTGTAGCGCAAAACAGACCTAGAGTGCTGTCACCCAGCCTTGCAGCATAAACGTCCGCATGGGGTGTTCCCCCAGCCATAGTTGTGGATCCTCCTCTTCAACGTCTAAAGTTTCTATTCTGCTGTCGCAACAAAATGGCACGCCTTTATGGGTTCCGAGTTAATAAGAGTTTGCGGTGTAGGCAAAATGGCTTACGTGAATAAGGACGCTGCACGACGCGAATTTTACTTCTTGCCTCTTGCGTTGTCGATGCCAGATCTCTGTCCAGGAGGGCGTTGGGAAGGGTTAGATGTCTGACAAGCGACAGGACACTTTGCTAATCGTTACGATACAGGAGGGAGAAAGATGCGGATAGCCTGAAAGAAGCTAGAGGCTTCTGGTGCGTAGGTACTCAAAGTCGTAGAGAGTCTGCCGAGATCTAAAGAACGCGATGTCGGTCGGGGGAAGAAGGCCATAGATGTATGATAATGCACTGTTGCTTGGCACGACATACATACATACATACAGTACCAACAGTCAGTAAATCTATCAGCCTCATCGATTTGGACTCGCTATGGACCCCACGTCCATAGTAACTTTCTTAACTTCAACTATCATTTTCTCTTGACCTATTTGTCGCCCGGCCCGGAACGCTCTAACGTTCTCCGTGGTTTAAATTTACGGTCGGAATAGCCTTGCCATCGATCACAATAAATCATCTCCGGAGCTTTATTCCGAGCTGTGAACCGCGGCCGGCTACAGCCAGTGAGTGTGCTTTTAATTCTTGGGACTCTAGCTACACAAACAGTCATCCGGTCAACGCATACGCGAGCCTAAAGTAGTATGTAAAGAGGCTCAACTAAATTACATAAATAAACAAGGCAGCGAAGTTACCCGAATACTACACTCAGTATACACTATTACTGAGTTTTTATGCTTGCTCGGTTCAAAATCTAGGTTGGCTGCAATCAGCAGTTGTGCGCACCTGAGTGTATGTTCGGTCACAAAATATCACTCGCTACACATATGCATCGCCACACCAATGCATTGGTCTTTGTGCTTCTAGCTGAACAATTTGAAGACGCAAAGTAGGTATACACGTATTTCCATTAACAGCTTTCTAGCTTTTACCCATCTCTTTTGAAAGGGCACCAGGCTAGAGCTAAATTTTTCAATTGCAAGTGATAACAAAAAAAAAAGTAGGCCTAGGTACAACGACGTGTCAATGAAATCACGGCCAGCAATCGGGGCAACTTTGGAAACTACATGTACATGTAGCTATAATACGCTAGCACCAGCAATTCCTTCAATACCGAGATATGATTGATTGATCGATTGATAATTCATTAATTGTGTGCACTGAGGTATGATCAGTCAACTCTTTAGTTTTTTTTTATTTAATCGTTAATTGTGATGCATGACGTACTTCTCGATAACGGGTATACCATCTACAACTCACATTTTCACACAGATCTCCCGGCAATTATTCCCAAGCCTATCTTTCAAACACCGACCCCGCCGGCCATGAAGATATAGCTCCCTCTAGAAACATTTTTTTCCTCTCACTGTGCATGTCCATGCGGGTCAACATCAAATCGGCTGAACACCTTCTATATGATAGGCTGTGCTGCAAAGAACGGCAAGTAAAGTATGGAATTTTACTAGTGTCAAAGTTGTTCATGATTGTAAAACTAACCAGTTTAATACAGACGAAGGAAAATTATGATATTCGGTCCACCGGGGCCCGGAGGAGACCCGTGTAATGCATGATAAGAAACAGTTCAATGCACATATAGCTAATTAACTCTACTCTAGATTACCTGGATACATCAAAGCCATATACTGCTTGATGCGATCCGCTCATAGCCTATACGCAGGATCTTCATCTCTTGCTTTCGGCCGCGGCACGGCCCATGTGTGCAAATTACTGGAGATACGTATGAATAATATAATTCAAGAACATGTCACAATCCAACACCACTCGTCTAGCACTCTCCCAATAATCATCGCCACGACGCAGTTAGATTGCTTAAGAACAGAAGACTGCATGGGATAAAAGCTTATAATCATGTGGGACACTTCAGTGTACGGGCTGCAGCTACTAGCAAGTATGTACTAGTACTGATGGAGGAATTTCCAATAAGTGCGATAAGTAAAGAACGCCACTTCACTAATTTAATTACGTGTTAGTTAGATAACTACCTAGATCTTCACGTTTGAATCGAGCTTATGTGAAACCTATTTCAATTTTCTTTTAAGGGCAAATTCAATAGTCATAACCATCGATTAGAGGTTGATGAGGGTGTCCATGCTCTCTAGCCCACGATTGACTTGAAACAACCCGATGCTCGCTCCGGACTCGTATCCAGCTTCAAGGCCTGGTGAGTTGTGTAAATAACCAGACAATCAGAGCTTAGAACATTTCCTTAATCTTTGTATTCCCTAGATTGGCCCAGTATTGAACCATATATCACCAGCGAGTAGATACATGTAGTCGGATCATGATCATGCAAATACGATACATATCGATTAATAATATCGTATGGACCACTTCTTCTAGGCCAAATAATACTCCAGGCCTCATAATATAAAGACAAATATACCTGAAAGTGGAATCTAGAGGGGACGTACGCAAATTAAAATACGAGTGATAGTTTATGATTAGATATTTCGATGACCGCATGCTGGGACTAAATATCAATAAGTGATTGCCACGTTGAACCGAGGGTAGATGGGTGTATGCGCTTTTTGTGATTGCTTGAGTTATGCATGTAGAATCAATATATATAAATTTATTGATCAAACTAACATAATTTGGCCTACATACTTCATTCGTGACGGGGATCGAAATTCCAGCTTTTCATATATTTCTCACTCCAACTGGGATGATCAACATAGCGTCTCACTTCTGGGGCACAGATTTCATGTACTTTCACGAGATCTAGATGGCATGCGCAGCTCTACATGCTCCTTTCCGGCCGGCACATGACATCAACAAAACGGTTACCTTCAGATAACTGCATATATACATATAAACTAGTACGCAATTAAGCTTAGCTGGTCTTATCAACTGTGTATGGCGTGATCAAAACCCAATAATCTTGCCAATGCTGTTCCAGCTGCAGTAAGTCGAGCTAGAGGAGTGCTTGTACTGCGCATGTTCGTACTTGGCGTACTGCGCGTGCTCGATTCAGGGTACGTGTCTGTGGGGTTGCGGAGAAGGATACATGCATACTACATGTAATATCGACCGGCCAACTTTTGATCATAAAATGAGGTTGGTAAAAGGCCAGAATATAAATGTAATCGATTGATCAAGGGGATGAAATAATCCATAGATCTACAAGAAATACTCATACCTTGAGAGCCCAAGACGCACAATTACCTTATAATTATACCACTATTCGATTTTTTTTTATATATATAGTACTACATATACTCCCTCTCGCCCCCTAGGTAGGCCCTACTACAGATTTCATACACCAACCACAGGGGGCCCGGACGTTTATTTCTCTGAGCTATAGAGTTTAGGTAGGTAGTTCACCACAACAATGCGCTATATACATGTATGCTGTGAGCTACGTGGGTAAAGATCCAGAGATCGAAAATAAACTAAAACGCGCCGTGCTACCAGTTAATACATCAAAACGACACCCTTAAAAGCAGTAGATCTACTAGCTAGAGTGTACCAAGATAGGTGGGCAAATCATCACAGAGTTCACCATTAACGCCATGCATGTACTTGAAGGCAGTTGATCCAATTGGGTGTAATGTGCTTTATGGAGTTGTACCTATGATCTCCTATATAGCTATGGCCAGTGATGGAATTCTAAACTTTAAATTATATATTAACTGCATGTACATGTAGTTATTAAAACATTAACGTTTTGCCGAATTTATAATCAATTTATATTAGTAGTCTATATATATATTTACAGACAATATGCAATACGAGTATCTTCTTCTTACTCACGCCTTTCCGGGAGGCGCATGTTCTACGAATATGAAATAGTTGCAGTTAGCAGCAAAATACGAACTGCCTAAAATGATGTTGATCATGAGAAATCACTCGGAGTAAACGAATGTCAAACCCTGCTTCTCCAAATGAAAATTGTTCAGTGCGAATCAAACATAGTTTCATAAATGGGTAAGGTTTAGCGATAGCAAAGATTAAAAACTGAACGCGAGACACCAATCGTGCTAGTTGCTAATCCCTATTCTAAACCCTAGATCTAAAATAGTAATACAAATGAAAGCATTGCAAACTGCAATTGCTGAAGAGCAGAACTTTAAACAAGAACTAGAAATAACCTGAAAACCCCAGATAAAAAACTTTAAAGCAGCTCCAAAACAACTTTTAAGCACCCACGCTTAACTCTGCCATCCTTCTCGTAGGTTCTTCACATTCACTGATGGCGTGATCAATCACCTCTAGCCCCTTCACTTCACCATATCCGTTGTAACCTACTCCTCTCAAGTTCCACTCGATATCCCCCTTTTGTAGGTTTCCACCTCTATCAAGCGCTCGTGACCAAATTTTGGTGTCCTTCTTTATACGCCTTGTATCATCGGCGTTCATTCGGTACTTCCAAATTGACCAACCCCATTTATATTTATCCACTCCATCGTCCTCCGCAACTTCAGCGGCGTCGGGGTACATGATTTTTGCTTCCTTCCAACTCTTGCCCTGGTCTATTGATATTTCGACTTTCACCACTGGTCCACTGTCACCATCAGGGAGGGCATATCCAGCTACTTCAAGTTCTCCGTTGATGAGATTATCGAGTTTAATGACTTCGTTGCGTGCAGGATATGCAATGACAGAGTTGATTGGCATTGATTGAAGTGGTGGAACCAAGTGCCAGTAAGACTTAGCTTGCGCTCGAGTTTCAATAAATGGAGGGAGAATCTTGTAGTCATGCTGCATATAGAAGTTGTTGCTTTCCTGGCGCTGGACTGTGACACGATCAAGCCATTTTGTCCAGCGCGCACCAGGGATACCTGGCATAACTATACGAACAGGTGCACCGTGATTTATGTTGAGTGGAGAGCCATTCATCTATCTAAGAATTAGACCAGCCCTGCGGGGGATTGTGGGGTAAGAATAGGAGTGCATACATCTAAGGCTAGCATAACCCTACTTTTTGGATCCATGCATCGCGCGAGTGATATAGAGCTACCGTAATACCTATCCTCTTGGCAATCTGTTTGCATACAAGAAAATGCGACATGGGCATCACCCTCGATGGTAACCCCAGCTTTGGCGAGCACATCGGCCAGGAGCGGTCCACCCCATGTGCAGTTACATACGGCACCATCGTTCCAGTCAATGCCATCGACTTCCTTCAGCTCCGTGCGCATTGTGTGGCGACGATTTCCAGCGCACTGTTTATAAAATTAAGATTGGAAAAAAGTGTATGATGACACCGGGGGGTTACCTGAAGAGCGGAAATCACTTCATATTGTTTAAAATCATTTCTGAGTGAAGCAATCGAGAGCTCGAGGACATTGGAAACGGCGCCATCAAGACGAACATAGTGACTGTCGACATTGATATGGGGAAGAGGTCTATTTAAATAAGGCGATGTGAGTCCGAGAAAGAAAAAGGAAAAAAGAAAGGGGGCGGGGTTAGAGATCAAAGTGGTTTTGAGAACAAAGGTGATTCATACCCATGATTTCTGTCATACGCAGTGCTCGCTTTGGTGATAAATGACTTCACAAGCTCTTTGACAGGTGGCTCTCGGTTGAGAGGTTTTTCGACACTGTATTCTAACTGTATATATGTTTTAGAGACAGCTTTGTTAAAATATTGGAACGGAAAATTTACCAGCATGGTTGGTTATTGAATTTATCGATAACAATTACAAACAAAAGATTCCGAATTGCGCAATTGCCAAGGTTGGTTGCAAAGCTAACAATATTAATGATGTCGAAGGTAGAAGAGAGGGTCGAAGGAAGAATTCGAAGAGTATGAAATATAAGGGTAGATTATGGGATTGTGAAGTGGATAGAATGAGTTGGCTACATGTATCAATGCTGCGAACAGGTAACGGATCATGAGTGACTCTCAGCCTTTTCCCTTACTCAACCACCAACCAGATCCGGATAGGGTTAGCGTTCCGCCTTCACTTCGAGAATGCCGGGTAACATGCTAGTGCATCAGATATCTTAACCCCTGATAGTGCAAGGTTGCTATTGCCTTAGACTACATGTAGTAAGTGCAGACGGTGCACTCAGCTGACATTGGCTTCTGAATGGTTATGCATGCCCGATGATAACCGCAATTGACCACGCCAATTGGAACTGGTATAATACGCTTTCCTCATTATCAAAATACATCGCAACTCTGCAGCTGCGGGCGCGAGATTCAGCAAGCTCTGACGGCTTTTTCTCTCTATAGTGGCGTGCATATAGGATTTCAATGGAGCTGGCCAGGTCATGGGGCCGCGCCGGGACAGCAATCGATATCCCAGTGCATCATGACATGATCAGAAGATATCGAGTTTCTATAAGTTAAATTTGAACCCAAAGCACCGGCATGAACTAGCCGGGAAACTCAGAAGGAAGCTTGGAGCCCTATGTACTAGGGTGTAGCGAAAAGTGATCAGAATCTGATAAGACAAATACACGTATTCACCGCAGCATTCACTTATCAGATTCTGATCACTTACCCTCAACACCCGGTCATCAAAAATCATGAGCTCGGCGTATTTTTGTATGGTATGCAATATTAGTTGCGTCCACAAACGTCACGAGTAGTATCGATTCTGAATAGGGATATTAGAGTCTTTTATCCACACTCACTCGAAGGTTGAAAGATGGGTATCGAGGCAAAACGACCGGGGGTTGTATGTACAAGCCAAATGGAGGAAAGAATACGCAGTAGTTCAATCTGGAGGAACCAATAAACTGACGGGACTCATTCTTCTCTCAGCGTAATTCTGAGAAATTAGACAGATCATATTTCCTCAGCTCACTAAAATCCAGGGTTAGGTCTTTTCATGCAAAGATCCTGGTCGTTTTGCCTCGATTCCCATCTTTCAACCTTCGAGTGAGTGTGGATGAAAGACTCTATTATCATGATGAGCGGATGCACACCGGTATGCAGGACATCCTTGAAGCGCCTCTGAGATCAGCATAGAGTACATGAATCGAATCTAGAGTACTCTACTCTACTGATCTAGGCAGCTATATATAGTGTATATATATCATGTGCCTCCAGCTCTACATACATGTATGTTCCTACTCTAATCTACTCTAGAGTATATCGTTTCCAATACCTAGGAGAAAAGGGCGGCCAAGATCCTTCTCATATATATATATGCATTGGCAGCTTCAGTGCCCTCCAATTAACACCCGGTGTCCGTACACGTCCACTCCGTGAACTACGATATTTAAATTTCTACCAACTACAAGCTAAGTACTCTGAAAAATTAGACTATTATAAGCTGATTTATCTAGAACACCCCTGAGAAAATTTGAATTTGAATAGTGGATTGTAACGGGGCCATAAGAACTCTACCCACTTTCATGTAGATCTCCAAGGAAATCAATATGAGGGGTTCATTTGAAATTTGATATACCTATCGATTTTCGTTGGTGCTATCTTATGAATGCAACGTGGCAGCCCACCATAATGTCCCAAATCAAGATGACGATCTCTATCTTTCAATCCAACGTGAGGCTCTAGGTTGTAGCCTGAAATTGACGGTCTGGGTGATCGACTGTCTTATGTTTTTGAGAAGGTTCTTTAGGCCAACATGCAACTTTCGAATTCGGGCATTGAACTAGTTGTCAGCACAAATATCTAGTACCGTACCGCGCGGTATATTTGGCTCGATGAGATATATAATTACATGTAGGCGCATAGATCCAAGATGTATTCAGGACGTACGCTTTTAAGTAAATCATGTGTAAGAATGCTTTATACTTCCTTTGTTTGAGGGCACGTATACATGAATTCAATGATTAGCGCCGGTGCATACAGCACTCATAATCGTACCCTATACATGAAGATTTCTAGCGTCATTGCCTCAGAGGTTTTTGATTTAACCGGTGTAATAGGCATGAGTGTGCGACCACCTATGTAGCCCGTCAACAAAGTTCTTCCAAAGTGGGTTTTTGATAATCGTTATGGATTTTTTATTATGCTACCGGGATCATGGAGCCAGGTATTGGTATAGTGTACACATGCTCTCCATGATCTAGACTAGGATTATTATCCTAAATGCCTTGCTAGCTACATGTATATAGAAAGTACTAGTACATACATGCATGTACATGTAGCTACACTTATCTGGGGTTATTCCAGTGTCACACATATTAATTCGGGTTAATTAATCTAGATCTGGTGCACTCTACGCGTTAATTAATTTCATGCTCTACCTGTATTTTGCCAATATGCCAACTACGTACATGTACCTACAGTATGTGTACCTACATGTACTTTAATTGACCCACATATACACATCAGTCGCCCGCAGCCGTTGCAATAATGGCTGTTCGGAACATCTACCTTCGGGAGTCCGAAAGATTTACAGAAACAAAAAACACCCCGCCTTCAACTTGTAGGCACCGCTTTGATCAAAGATACTCTATAAACTAAACTAACACCCGATTTCTGCATAGCCCCCGCAATTCGCCCCCGCGGGTCATCCTAGGTATTCTGCCGGCAGAATTAAAGTACCCAAGAAAAGGCTAAACTGCAGCACATCTAGTTGCGATGCGCAGTGGGGTAAGATGTTGAATTTGTCCGATGACCGATGGACTTGTAAGTTTTGAGGTTTAAATAAAGAGTGATTGGAAGGAGGGCCTACGTTTTTAATTGAGCATTGACGCTCGCGCTGTGTGTCTCTCAAGAATATACAACAAAATTATCGAATTGCCATTGCAAAAATGAAGTTCCGAGATGGTGAGAAAATTAGCATTTGAAAAGTTGGGAACTATACTGATTGAGCATGGACAGGTATGTGGCTCGTGAAGGAAGGTGTGAGAATCGAGTATGCCGAGGACGTTCACAAAATTACGGAAGGACCAAAGGGCGACTCTTTGAGCTTGCTATGCCCAACCAGACACATTAGGTCTCGGGGTGATACCCTCAATCTACCAACATTGAGCCTTGTATGTCTAGATTTCACTTCTTTTTTTTTTATTATTGTAATACAACTAACAATCGTGATACACTAGGAAATCCAAGCAGAATTTGAAGATGTCATTTCCGTCACTACCCAACATTGGAAGGGCGCTCAAAACCCAGGGCCTCACTATGAACTGTATCCTGATGGAAGGCCTTCGTGTTTGGCAAAAATTGTTACCTCAGCGAAGGGGACTACACTTACCTCCGGAAACCTCTCATGTACTGTTTCTTTCAAGGTGAGAAATCTGAATACCTGTACTACCAGATGAGTTTTTAACAATCATTATAGCCCCACACATTCGATATAAGTTTCCATGATACTACTACCGGCAAAAGCGTAACCTCCCTTCTTAACCGTTCCGTCGGATTCGCGTACACCCCTGCACCATCCTCCCCCATGCAGACCGGTGACATGACAAAAATTGGACACCATATCTTCACTCAACATCAGCTTGCTGTTGGAGAGTCTATCTACGGTCTTGGGGAGCGGTTTACAGCATTCAATAAAGTCGGACAATCGCTCACGCTTTACAACGCCGACGGCGGAACCTCATCTGAACAGGCGTACAAGAATGTCCCATTTTACATATCCTCAAACGGTTATGGGGTCTTCATTGACCATGCAGAACCGGTGGATCTCGAGATTGGGTCTGAAAGATCCTGCAGACTGCAGGCCAGCGTTTTGGGTCAGAGATTGAAATGGTATGTCATCTACGGACCCAACCCGAAGGAGATTTTACGCAAGTACACTGCTCTCACTGGGAAGCCTGGAAAGGTCCCATCATGGAGTTTTGGGTTGTGGCTCAGCACATCCTTCACTACATCTTACGATGAGAAGACCGTAGGCAGCTTCCTAGACGGAATGAAGCAGAGGGAAATTCCAGTGCATGTGTTCCACTATGATTGCTTCTGGCTGCGCGAATTTCATTGGTGTGACTTTGAGTTCTCGAAGGAGCATTTCCCGGATCCAAAATCTATGATGTCTCGTTTGAGGAAAGAGAGACCTGGGTTAAAGTTTTGTGTGTGGATCAATCCATACCTTGGCGACGCATCTCCGGTTTTTGCAGAGGCTGCAGAGAAGGGTTACTTGCTTAAACGCAAGAACGGGGATGTGTGGCAGTGGGATCTTTGGCAAGCTGGTATGGGGCTGGTCGACTTTACAAATCCTGCGGCCTGCGAGTGGTATGTTTCAAAGCTGGAAAGTCTTTTTGACGTCGGAATCGATTGCCTCAAAACCGATTTTGGCGAGAGAATTCCCGATAAGGATGTACAATGGTTTGACAAGAGTCTTGACCCAGCAAAGATGCACAATTACTATGCATTCATTTATAACGAGGTTGTATATAAGGCATTGCAGAAGCGGTACGGAAAAGACCAGGCTGTGTTATTTGCTAGGACTGCAACTGCCGGAACCCAACGATTCCCGCTACAGTGGGGTGGTGACTGTGAGAGCACATTCGAAGCTATGGCAGAGAGTCTGCGCGGCGGGTTGAGCTTAGGTGTCAGCGGATTTGCGTACTGGAGTGTTGATATCGGGGGCTTCGAGGGAACCCCAGATGCGAGTGTTTACAAGAGATGGGTCGCATTTGGTCTTCTATGTTCGCACTCGAGGTTACACGGAAGCAACTCATACCGTGTTCCATGGGCCATTGATGAAGAATCTACAGACGTTCTCCGCACGTTTACGGATCTGAAGTGCAGGCTCATGCCATATCTTTACAGCCAGGCAATTTCTTCGACAACCTCAGGCCTCCCAGTATCACTCCGTGCCATGTTCCTCGAATTCCCAGAAGACCCTACAGTATGGTTTCTCGACCGCCAATACATGTTGGGCGACTCACTTCTCATTGCGCCTGTCTTCACTGAATCTGGCGATGTCGACTTCTATCTTCCTGAGGGCAAGTGGACAAATTGGTTCACCGGCGAAGTCAAGTCAGGGCCAAGATGGGTCAAGGAGAATCATGGGTACCTTACATGCCCTATCTATATCCGAGAAGGATCCATCCTTGTGCTTGGGAAGGTGGGTGAGAAGAGGGTTGTGTATGATTATTTTGAGGATGTACAGGTCATGGTTGTGCAGCCGATTGATGGAAGGCGTGCGAGGGCACCAGTCAAACTTGTAGACGATAAGGGCGAGGCTATGGGAGAGATCACTTTGAATGGCGGGGAATTGGTTGTGCCGGATGTTGTGAAGGATGGGTGGCAGTTGACGGTGAATGGAAAGGATCAGACAGCGAGCGTGCAGAGTGTCAAGAAAGCGGGTGGAAACTGGACCGTTTGGACTAGGTTGTGGGTGTGATTTTTTCAGTTTGTCTTTGTTAAATTTGGGGATAGTGTAAGTATTGATTATTCACAAGACCATAGCAGTGACAATTTGATATAAATTAGAATATGCAGTGGAATCTAAAGTACATAAATCGATTCCACCTATATCCATCTCTACCATTCCAATCATTAGAGGTCAAGACAAGGGAATACCAAATTGCGCTTAACTAAAACATGTACCAAAACTCTCGAGTACCTATGTACATATATATTGAAGGGGAGGGCTGAAAATATATATGCAAGAGGTGTAGACCCACGATCGTGGTGGTGGCGGGTCCGTGGTTGGGTCAACGTCGACGTCAATGATCAAACTACATACATCTGGTGTATGTAGTCAATTATCCTGCTTAGCTAATCAGCTTAGGCGCACAAAACTTACTGTACAATATTTAGCCACTCTAACTACATGTATGTGTTTAAGTCTTCTAGAATCTTTTTGTATATTGAGGGCCGTGTTGAAGAAACAATCGGAGAAACACCCTGGTTCTACAAATTCTTCTGGCGTGGTATATACAGAAAGATCATAGAATCGCACTCGCCAGAAATTTACTATACTTATCCTTACGTAATTACCCTATGTGTAATCCCAGCAAGAAGTCTTTCACCAGATATCAAATGTGCGCGAATTTTTCACTGAGCGAAGGATCAAGGGGAAAAAAACATCCATGTAAGAATTTTCTATCATCACAAGAGAAAGGAAGGTGTTTCCCGGAATAGACATATTTCTGGCTGCACGGTCAAAAAGCAAAGCACATAAAAGATAATTTCCTATGTTTGTTGACCGGCTGCCCCCGCGGCCCGTACTAGTTAGAACGAGAGTTCGTAGAATTTAAATATAGAGGTTGTTTCGCCTACGTCAAAAAAAAATTCCACCCCTCCAAGTCTTGGCAGCTTAAGTTTACCCCACCAGGAAGACGTTCTCTCTACTTTCCCTCCAATTCTCCGTAATCCCACCACAGACAAAAAGCACTCCTGCTCTACGGAAATTCTCGCGCCTGATCGCAATCTTGGTAAATATATGCTCTAACACCAACTTTGCTCCTTCGACGTTGCACTGACAGGCAAGCCAGGTTCTCTTCATAAAAAAGCCTATTCCGAAAAGATGAGTGAAATCGTACACGCAACTATCAAGGGTTAGTCTATTTTCCCTAGTTATCCCTAAAATCGGCCTTTCAGGAGGTCTAAAGCGCCTCTCGACGAATTGAGTGAAAATTAAAAAGCCAACGAACATGACTGACTGACATGGATTGGTAGATGGCTGGTTCCGCGAGATCTCGGACATGTGGCCCGGCCAGGCGATGACTTTGAAGGTCAACAAGGTCCTGCACCACGAGAAATCTCAATACCAGGACGTCTTGATCTTTGAGAGCAGTGACTATGGCAATGTTTTGGTCCTGGACAACGTCATCCAGTGCACCGAGCGTGACGAGTTCGCGTAAGTTTCCTTGAAGCATGGATTTGCGAAAATGCGAAATCTTACATTATTCTCGCAATGTCATAGCTACCAAGAGATGATCACTCACTTGGCCATGAACTCTCACCCCAACCCCAAGAAAGTTCTTGTCATCGGTGGTGGTGACGGGGGTGTCCTCCGTGAGGTTGTCAAGCACGAATGTGTTGAGGAGGCTATCCTCTGCGACATTGACGAGGTAACTATCCACATATCGAGTTGGTTTAGATTAAAGCTGCAGTTTTAACCCTGGGGCTATAGGCTGTCATTCGTCTCTCCAAGCAGTACCTTCCCCACATGGCCGAGGGATTCAAGCACCCCAAGAGCAAGGTCCACGTCGGCGATGGGTTCAAGTTTCTCGAAGACTACAAGAACGAATTCGACGTCATTATCACCGACTCCTCTGACCCAGAAGGTCCCGCCGAGTCTTTGTTCCAAAAGCCCTACTTTGAGCTTTTGTTTGGTGCTTTGAAGGAGGGTGGTGTTATCACCACGCAAGGTTGTCGGTTTCCCCTTTTGCTTTTTTTACACTTAACTTCAAAAAAACTGGGGGCTATCTTTATGACGTGGGGAGACAGTCCGCTTACTATTTTTCACCCTGTGCTGCAGAGACTGATACATCTCCTACTCCTCTCTATTCTTTTTGTTCTTCTCGCCCTCAGCTTGATACAAGACACCCCCTCCCTCACTGGTCGACAAATTCATGTGACTAACCCGTTTCACTGCCCCACAGCCGAGAACCAATGGCTTCACTTGAAGCTCATCACCGAACTTAAGAAGTCTTGCCGCGAGGTCTTCCCCGTTGTCGAGTACGCCTACACCACTATCCCAACATACCCCTCTGGGCAGATTGGTTTCATGGTTTGTACCAAAGATGCAACCAGGAACGTTAAGAAGCCGGTTAGGACCCAGACCGATGAGGAGGAGCAGAAGCTCTTCAGGTACTACAACAAGCACATTCATGAGGCCAGCTTTGTTTTGCCTACTTTTGCTGCCCTTGCTTTGAAATAGGCCCTATAGGATAAAAAGTAGTATTTCAATAGATACTTTCTGTTTGTGTAAAAGCGTACCCGTATTTATCTGTTAACGTATTTCCTCAGTAAATTTCTTAAAATATCAAACCCCTTCGACATCCAAGACTTAATACACCTCAAAGAAAATCCTTTGTGCAAGTAATGATTGAGGAAGTGTTGCAATTGCCATAACTGTAAAGTTGCATGCAATTAATGAATCAAACAAAAAAAAAAAAAGGGAAAGGAAAGTGTTGCAATCCCTCCGAAAAACTGAGTGATAATTCATGATGCAATACCGTTGGCTCAGCATGAGGGTTCTAGAATGAATGTAGTTTATCCAAGCCCTCTCAGTCTCGTATCTAAGCTGCGTTACTATAACTTGAATGCATTCAAAAGGGAGAAACAAATGACTCCACGATCATAGTCAATTCCCTGCAGCCTAAGCTCGACTATACCTAGGCCTGAATTATCAATCAATCAATCAAGCTCGACTATACCGACCCAATTCATAAGCTAAATATTAGTGTGTAAACCTAGGGGCAATGGGGTTCAAGTCCCCAAATAAATTGCAGCAAAGTTTGAAAAAAGACTTTTTGATATTACTTATGTGCTTATCAGGTATAACCGGGGGTAAATTTGCCAAGACAATAGCTGGGAAACTTGATTGATAGCACTGATCTCGCAGAATCTGTCCGGGTACCTTGTGTTCACCCTTTGGTTCACCTTACTTAAAATTATTTTTCTCATGCTTAACAGCCCCAAAATAGCAAAAGAGAACGAGATATGAATAAGGAAATGTCAGAGAAACCCCGATAACGACTGTCTTTCAACTATCTGAAACATTAAGTCGAAGAATTGACAACACTCCCGAGAAACACAGTCATAACAGCGGCGTACCTGGGATCCGAGTTAGCTTCAATTAAATGGGTTTCTACCAAGGATAGGATATATCGTACGCAGCGGTAGCGCCAAATATCTCTCCATTTGAAGCACGAGTTGAAGCTACAGCCGCAGAGAAGGTAAGAGTAGAAATCACAATCGTGAACATTTGCCATCGGGGGGTCTTTACAAAACACAGGATAACAATTGGAATGAGGAGTGTTGCTGCAGCTGTGATAGTGACAACGACTCGCACGACAATCTTGAGAAATCCTGCAATTTTCAAAACCCCATCGTCGGGAATATAGTACACGTTTGGATCAGAATTTAAATGATTTCGAGGGTCGCTCTGTTTCAACTAGTTAGAGAAAACTGTGTATTCTTGGAATTTCTGGGTGGGGTTACATCTGAGGTAAGATACTATTATGACAAAAAATAGTGAGTAATATTGCCTATCAAAGCCCTAAACGATCTGGTTTTGAAGCTCACTTTCTTTGCTAAGAAACCCGCAAGCTTTAGCTGTGTCCCTCGCTCGAGAAGATCTTCCCTAAGAGTAATAATATCGGATCGATCTTCTAGAAATCGTTGTTCCTCCGCCTCCAAAGGCTGTGAATCATCAATCCACTGGCTTAATTGTTCGATGTTCTTTACGCTCGCAGCTGGAAAACCAAATATTTTGCTGCAGTTGAATAGTGCTTTGTCTATCTCGTATGCGTAGGATGGTCAAATTTTCGTCGAAATCGAAGGCTAACATTGGAGAAGAAATACCATAGTCTTTTAGAGCTATATCGATCTCCGCCATTATTTCCTTTCGTTCTGCATTATTGTCAAATCTCCTACTCGAAAGATTGACCTGATCATCCTCTTTCAAATCTAGTACATATAGCCTTCTCTCTAATTCTGCTAGATGGTCCTGTTTATAGAGGAGACTGCGTATTCGGATTTTACCGAATCTTCGGAATATTGCAAGACTAAGGTCGCTATTCATCGTTGCGGATAGGTTTGGATAACCGCGAGGGTATCGAAAAACTTTGTACAGTTAATCTGGTATGTCATTTTAGGCATATGCCACCAACATGGCGTTCATCTTACGAGGTTCAGTTTCAGGCGACTGAATACTGATATGACAATCATTTCTGCTGTTTTGCGCGCTTTGCCGAGGCGAGGTGATGGAAGGCGTTGTTGGTGTTGGTTGGGGGGTGGTTTGGGATGTGGGGTTAGTGCTCGTAGACATCACGAAGCAGATAGAGATCTAATATATGAGATAGTTCCAGAAACCGTTACACGCTGGGATGGCTGGTGTATGTATGCACTAATCCGTATCAGCCGGCACTTATGTTGATATAAGGGTGGTTACACAAGGGTTTGAACAGGTGGAACCACAACATGCTTGTAATACCTACACAGATTGTCTGGCAAATTAGAATCATTGGAGATCCCACGCGACCTGACTGTAAGCCTACATGTACATCTGCTATTGATGGACCGTTTACGGGATGAAGCGAAAAGCCACATTGGACCGGCGATGCCAAAAAAAAATCAAGGGAATCTCGATTGAGTCACAGGGACTAATATGGTCCTTGTATGGTTTCAATTCTGCAGCAATTTCTGCTTTGCAAGGTCTTGACTGTTGAGTGAAGTATGTTGTCGCCCGGAATAGTTTAGTGGGGATGTCAATCAAAAGCTCTCAAGCCTTTTATCCTGTCTCTGCTCAGCCCTCCTAAATTTACCACTGCCAATGGTGAGTGCTTCTTCGGCACTTAACCAATGAAAACTTGTGCAACGCAGAATCAAAGGATGTCAGCGCGAGGCTGAAATTTGGTACGTGGAATTGGCCCTGTGTCTCATGAACCCGTCCCCAAGATCCGGGGAAATCATACTTATATATCCACGTTTTCCGTTTTCCTAGAGCTTGATACTAACGCGGTGACTTCAGCGAGCTTTTCGACTCGGTCAGGTTGTTTGGGTCGGCTAAATTTCGACCAGTCAGCAAATATCAGCAAACCGGACTGGTGGGGGTGGAAATGGTGGAAATGGGTTACGTCGGGGAAACTTTTCGGCATGACATCAACCCCTATTTTGACGGTGCTGTAAGTTACATTGGTACCTAATATCTCACGCTGTGGTATTATTACTGACAAGATAGGAAAATGGATATCTCTGCATGCCCGTTGTTGAGATGTCTATCCGGGGTCCGAATTATCCCACCGACGTACCCAATGTGTTTTTCGGGAACGAGCATACAAATAATATGCCTCTTGCAATGCCCGTAGGATACCCGTCATCGCCGTTTTTATTGACAGTATATTTATTTCTAAAAGCAAGAAGAAGATTTTAGGGCTATAGATCGAAACTTTCCTGAGGTAGTTGAAGTACAGAAGGCAGTTAACCCAATTTCAAGAGAAAGTAATACTGTATGGGTCCCTGGTACGTTTCCGCCCCACCCTTTGAATAATAGACTAAGTTGTTGCGATAGCCGCCTAAAAGTTACCACCATTCAGATATAGTCGACTCTCCGAGCTGGAAAAAGGGCGGTAGGGCCCCGCCGAAACGCATAGCTTCTTTGACCCCAGGATCACCGGATAGCTCTAAGGTATTGCGGTCCAGTATGCATCGATCCAGATATTGTGGTTAACTGTGATGCCTTTGATGTAGCCTTTGGGACCTATTAGTTATGAAGAAAAAAAACTTCCGTGGCCGACTGACCTCGAAAGCGCATACATGCCTGTCGGACCCGATATATCCCTCCTAGACGATTATTACCTGCCGAACGAACGGTTTCCTTTCCTCGGCCCAGACTATAGCTACGAAGAAGATTTATTCTCTGTTAGTGAGCGGAGCTCTAATTGATGGCAATTTAATTTGAACCTTGGCTAACTGAAATTTTGTTACGAATGCTTAGACAACTGAGCCCGAGCAAGCAGAAAATCCATACGCATTCCAACTACCCCCTGGGCCCCAACTGAATCGAACAACCCAGGTTTATGTACCTTACAGACCTACTTTACCTCTAAGCCCCCAGGAAGAGTCTGAAAGACCATACTCATACAATATTGTAAACCCTTACCGGGGAAATAGTTGGTACGCTGCGGAGAGGCAAGATTTTGAACAAGGAAAAATCACTGTATGAGCATCCGCCATTCTGAGTTTGGATTTGCAGTTTGGATTAACTGAAAAATCAAAAATTTAGCCCATGTCACCAGGATCAAGCCAAGTAAGGTTCCAGATAGTCATCAGTTAAAAACAATTGATTGCTAAATTATGTTAGAAATCTGGGGATGAAACTAGCCGCCGGCCTGTTCTGAGGAAACCGGTTCCAAAGAGTTCAGGAAGTAGTTCTCGAGTAGGTCGCCTTAGATGGACCATGGAGTTTTGAGCGTTTAACTAACGTTTTGATATAGCCACAAACCATGGATAGTTCTATTAGCTATAACTACTTTGACCGAGACCCTATTCCCCCTGTCCCTCCTATCCCTCAGCAGATCACTTATGTCGATGCGATGAGTCCTGAAAGGAGAGTTCAAGTAGAGTACCTTTAATTTTCTTTCCTTCGTTTAGACATATAACTAACCCAAGCTTTACGGTTTAGCCTATATCTCTGCGCACAGCAAGCTTGTACTCTCCTCCAATCACTCCACCCATATCTTCATCTGCGGTTCCTCCGCCCATACCTCCTGTAAGTCTATATCTAGATAGCCATTTCAAATTCTTGGGTTACTAAATAGATGCAGAAACACAATATTAGCCCAGTGGAGAGGCATGACACATTAGGATCTGAGCTCAGGAATCAGGAACAACCCATTAGGGCTCTTGTAGGTCCTCTCTATCGTTTTTTATAATTAAAACTAATAGATGCTAGTCATTGGACTCGAGGAGTTATCAAAGACCGAATATGCCGGCACCGGTAGAAAGGCCTTCCTCATTTACACCGGTTACAGGACTGGCCAAGCCACCAGTACCGATCGCAATTCCGAAACGAAAGAGGTGGTGGAAGAGGCTGTTTTCTCGCAGTCACAAAAGGTGCGGCCAGCTAACTCTCGCGACTGACTTTATCATTTAGGACCTACTAACTGAAATTAGTATTGTAATTAGCTAAAACATGCAGGGCATGGTATAAATATTTTGTGGAAAGGGGAGGTATTGTTAGAGTTATATAACATTGCATAATTTTTTCCTATGTTATTTCATCTTTGTTTATTTGGCCCTGTTGAAAAGGGCAGGCGTTGGGAAAGGAATCGAAAAAATATTGGGTCTGTTTTAATTGCATGTATAGCTATCTTTTGAGCCGCAAAATTAAGTCTTAGCACTGCGGAATTATGTTCGAGTGATAAAACATGACTTTAGTGTAATTTAAGTGCCCTGCATATTCCAAACAGGCAAAAAGCTTGTGCTTGGTGACACGCCAAGATCATGGTAGAGTAATTAATTCTTTGCCGTATGTATGTTTGTTTCCCGACCTAAACAAGCATCCCTACAGGTCTCCCCCTAATACCTAGGTCTTACGATCATTGGTTGTTCGTTGGTTTAGGCTTCCCGCCGTTGCCATATTATCAACCTCCATTTTATCTATGCACGTGATACTGCTCGTACATAAACACGCGTCGAGCCATGTTAAGATGTTTTGTGAACACCGTGGGAAGAGAGAGCATGGAGGCGCTAGTTATTTCTGATATACATGTCGTATCCATAGAATCCATCATTCTTCGAATACTATCCAAATCCACATAGCCACAGTGCCTGAGCCAACCAGCAGAGTTCAACGATGTCGATCCCCTCCCTCTAGGTAGAGCACCTACTCTGCCTAGTGTACTCTAGGTACTGGTAACTGGCCTGCAGGGGGATAGCACGCAACCGCCCATGGTTCTTGTGTCATCCCATTTCACGCAGACAGCACCCGCACGTGCGTATCAAGTCCGTCGTGAATTGGTTGAAATACCATTCACCATAAAAATGGGGAAGAGTGGGTTTTAATTCTCAAGCTCCTTCTGAGCTACCCAACCTACCCCCCCCGACCCATCACACGGATCAAAAAATAAAAAAAATAAAAAAAAAGATGTCGCTCCACCAATCCTCCAAGGATAGCTCGGCTGACGAAACTACTGCTATGACTGGCGCAGGGTCTAGAGAAGTACCAAACTATGCGAGTACGTCGACAACAGAGAGCATGAGCAGGAAAAGGGATAAACACTCTGGTCGAGATACACCGGAGCCGGAGAAGAGGGGTTGGTTCTGGAGGTTGAGAGCTGTTGAGTTGGAAAATGAGGGCTCTACCGCGAGGGATCATCTAGCTCTGGGTAGGTAGTTGCTTACCTAGCTAGATAGTTGTCGGTGATGTGATGTGATATGTTACTGATCTAGAGCGTGTTTTATTAGAACGGACCTTCCTGGCGTGGTTAAGGACATCCCTTGCGTTTGCGTCAATAGGTAATTTACAAAACAATCATTACCCCATCCATGGACTCGTCGTAGCTAATCAACCGTACAGGCGTAGGGATATCACAACTATTTCGCCTCAATGCTGCTGTACAGTCCTCCGATCTTTCTGGTATTTATGTCCTTTCCTTCATGGATTCTCACCCCATCTAATAATAAACAGAGGGCATAATAACACTTCGCCACCTGGGCAAGCCTCTTGGCATAACCTTTCTTGCAACAGCAATAGCCGTGCTCTTGATCGGTGTCCATAGGTTCATCACATTTCTCCAATTCAATCGTATGGTATTAATATGAAGGTCTAGATACTTTGAATCGCAGGGTTGGCTGTTGAGGGGGAAGTTTCCGGCGAGCAGGGGAAGTGTGTACTTCTTGACTGGGATTGTGGCTTTGGTATGCATAGAGTGTGCTCTCTTTAGGCCAGTAGTTATACCTTACTGACTGACCACCTTTCAATCATTAGCTCATAACCGTAACTCTGGTTGTCGTATTGATAGTTCAACCTTCAAACGCTGAAAAGTAGCCAAGGTGGTGGAAGTCGTTATTTCTATCTTGTGTTGGCCCATTGTGTCCAGTCTTATTCATTCCCTATTAATCCCACTCAACAAAGTGGTTTATGTACCATATATCAAAGCATAATTGCTTTTTTCTCCCCCTCTCTCAGTTACCTTCAATAGTTTCAATAGCCTCATCGGCCCCAAAATCCGATATCGACGCCCTTGCCGCCTGCTCATGTCCCTTTATTGCGACATCTCCAATTTCCTGCTCTAGCCCCACAACCTTCACTACATTTATTCCTCCCTTAGCTAGCTGCTCTCTCCCAGTGTTAACCACAAAGAACACCGGTTCCTCAACCCCCACATAGACGGTCTTGATCCCTGCGTCGAGTACCCTCTGCACGCAGGGTACGTTACCAGACAACCGCTCACTGCACGGCTCCATGGTCGTGTACAGAATTGCATCAGTAGGTATGGTCTGCCCTGCGACAGTGAGCTTATCGAAGCAGCACTGCTCGGCGTGGGTGTTTCCCGGGAGCTCGCGCGAGTAGCCGGTTGAGAGGATCTTGCCATCGGGAGTGGTGAGGAGGGCGCCCACACAGTAGGCGGTCGGCGTGCCGGTGCATTTGTGCGCCTCCTGCAGTGCAAGGTTCATGAAATTGAAGTGCGTAGGGTCTGTGGTTGTGGGGGTTGGGTTTGCCATTATGGATTGAATTGTTTGGTGGTGGTGGAGTTGTGGTTGAGGCTCTACCCCCGCAATTGGATAACTACACATGAACTTTATGTGCCTACACGGGATGACGTGAGTTGGAATGTACATGCATACGTATGCTGTAGAAAAAACTCTTGGTAATATTACTGGATGGGGATATGGGGATAGATGGACTAAATGAATCAATTCTGATACTAAAACGAGAAATATAGATGTTTCGGGTGAAACGAATAGTCGCATTCCATAGGATTGTAGAACGCACATCAGAGAGCCCGAGTATTATGACTATCAATCTTGGATTTCGTCGTGGTATGTCTGGTCAGGTAGGAATAATCCGCCAGACATCCGTAGAATGACGATCCGGAATGTAAAACAGTACAAGGGAATTGTACAAGGAAAGGAAAGGAGGGGGGTTCCCGGCTTAAATATTATATTATTTTTGATTGGGTATTTTCACAACCTAAGGAATTCGTCCACTATGTATATGTATTTTACGAACCTGCCCACCTCACCTCCACCATACTCGGTCAGCCTGAGGGGATAAAAGCTTCTTAGTGATAGATAAGTTTCTGAACCAGAGTGGGTTGGATCCATCTTGGTTGACGACACTCGTCTGGTTTCAATGCATGAATGACGTGTGGTGTACGCGTCAAAGGTGGCGCCTCTTCAATCTTGTGTGCTTGAATCTGGCGGGTTCGAGCGTGCCATTGATCGAGTAACTGTCGTAAGCATAACTCTTTTTGGTGGTTGGCGCTCTCCTTCGGTAGCTGAAGACTCCGATATTGAATATTCATCTGTATCACTCACATGCTTCCTGGAGAAAGATGGGCAATCCCCCACAGAGGCTTGCTTATCCGCAGCGCCTGACTTGACGACAGACTCTGGTTTGTCTACAGAATCTGTCTTGTCCAGAGGATCTTCCTTGTCCACAGGATCTGACCTATCAGAATCTGGCGTGTCCACAGTATCTGTTTTTTTCCCAGGCCCAACGTTTGTTTCCACTGAGTCTTTTGCGTTGGCAGTATCCTCCTCCCCTGACTCTTCTTCATCCGTCTCCTGGGCAAATCGAACACCCCCTCCCCTTCTTTTCTTTATCGATTTTTCTTGATCTTCAGCCGCCACCTTTGCTGCCTCGGCTCTAGATGCCTCGCCTCGCTCGTGAAGCCGCTTCCGGAACTCTTCAAGCTCTTTCTGCACCTCGGGCGTGGCTAGCCCTTCCGCCGTGGGCCTGTATTTGGCGTCATCTACGGGCTCGTACTCGTCTTCTTCGTCTTCTTCATCGGGGTCAATCTCGTTCTCGGCGGCCTCAATCTGTTCTTCGAGTTGGGCCACGTTCTCGGTGGCATCTAGAGGCGGATTGGATTAGCTTGAAGTTCTGACGTGGCGGGATAGAGCGGGGATAAGCTCACCGTCAAGCCGGTGGGTGATCTCTGTGATGACCTCGATAACATTCCTCTTGGTTTCTAGCCCATCACCGAGAAGATCCTCTACCTCTAATATTGAAATTTCATCAGCATTGGCAGCGTGGAGTGAGTCGCGATGAGCTTACCTTGCTCATCAACAACTTTCCTGGTGGCTTTGAGAGCCAGTTTTAGCTTTTTTTTACCACTCAATCAGCGTCGCTCCCTTCCTTCGCGTACGAAGGGCATCAAGTAAATACCATGTCCTCGTGTGTCGCCGCCAGCGGCAGGGATGAGAGCTCCCTCCGCAGCGCCTCGTACTCGTTTGAGTAGATCTGCCAGTGTCGTAGAGACTTTCGTAATCGTTCGAGGCGCGGGCGGAGTGATGAAGACATGTTTCAATGGGTTGTTGTTTGTTGTTTTTGTGTGTTGAGATGAATGGAGGTATGGGGGAGTAAGGAGAGGAGGCAGGAGGAACAAAATATCAGGGCACCACCGTCTTTGGTAGCAGGGATGGGGTGACCCTAACCCGAAGATGAATGGCGGGGATTCGCTTGATGCAGGGCATCTCCGATGACGTAGAGTCGAGGCTGGGAGCACAACCACGAGTGAGAAAACTGAGTTTGCATCGTATGTGCCTCAGTTGTGCGCATATTCTGGACGTTTACTGTGGGCTGTGGTAGATGTGATATCTTAATTTAATGCAACCAGTGCTAGCTACGTGTAGAGTCGATGTCTCCGCGATGTCCTCTTTCGTGTATTTCAATAATCTTCGCTCCGCTCAGCTTTCTCACGAATGATCTGATACTTTTAGAATCACTTATCTAGACCGCTATCTACTTGACAGCAGGGGTAATATCTGTGCGTAAAAATAAGCTTCTCGCACTCCCTATGTTACTTGTAGCGGGCGCTGATTCTGAATTCTAAATTATAATAAGAGACATTTATATATAATTGTGCCGCTCATTCAAACGCATGTAGCTACATGTATCAATTGCGGACAAGACATCTATCAATATTATGGCCGCTCGAAAATCTAGTATCAGTAAAAAAGACCAGTTTTCAAAATGGCACTAAAGCTGAAAAACAATCGACTTAATCCAATAACGTCATCTATCATCAACTTAACGTCCTCTAGTTAGTTTTCTAACTCAATTCGTACTGCCAAGTGATATGACTCTCAAAACCTTTGGGACCTTCATCTTCTCGTGCTCCGGAGCGTATTTTCATTCGTCCAGGTTACGAAAAGATACGTCCTCGAATCCCAGAAATGGCTCCTCCGAAACCCTCATCCGCGCCAGATATTTTGATATGCGCCGAGGAGGAGGAGGAAAAGAAAAGCTACTCTTATATTGAAAAGGTGGCCCAAATTGCATCCCAATAAGAATAATTGCTCTGTTACTTACCGTATTCTTGGTTCTAGAGAAATATGACAATATGGATCATTGGGATAATGTTTTATAAGCTCGGCCTCGAGACTTTCCAGGGCTCAATAACGTAATATAGCACCACCACTCGCGATCGTGTCAATTCATAATGTACGCCCCCAATGTCACCGTTCGCAGGCAATCTGACAGTTTGAAAGTATTATCGCGCTGGAAAAATGGGGTGATGAAAAGCACCGGAAATATGGGCTTCTTAGAGGCCTTGATCAGCTCTTTCAGGTAGGCCTGACTTGATCTGAGATACATATGTACTATAAACGACTAAACTTCTCAGTGCATGGGCAGCATTCTCATCGCGCCCTTAATTCGCCGGTTCGCTACACGCAATATCCTCTTATTCACCTCTCTGATCTTCGCTGTCCTCAGCGCCCTCCTAATGATCATTGACTTTGGTACCCATGGCCGAATCAAGACCTCAACCTCCACGGACCCCACCGAATCCGAATCCGAAGCCCCACCATACCTGGGGAGCTTCAATCCAAACACACTATTTCCAATAATGTGTTCCAGCGGTCTCGTCTACGGCATGATCGAGCTCATCCGCCGCATCATCCCGCGCGACATCGTTGGCGGCAATATCACAAAGCTGCGCAAAATGGATGCTCTGGTCCACATCCTCTACGAGGTCTCTGGTACCCTCGGCGCGCTGCTCTCCTGGCTGCTGGTCTCACGACTGGGGAGTGTTTACGGGCTTGTGGCTACGCCGGGGTTCTTTGCATGTGCAGCTATGACATGGCATTTTCTCGCCCTGCCGTCTCCCCCAAAGAGTACCGCAAGAGCGTCATATGCGGTGCAGCTCCTGTATGGCGTGAAGTACTTCTTCCAGTCCATCTCGAAGGGGTTCTGCGTGATCTTTACGAAGCGGGCATTCATGTGGCTGCCCGTAGGCTACTCAATAGCCCTCTACACACACCGCTACATCGAGAACGGCCTCATCCCGTTCATAGCACAGGACATCTTCCACAACCCCGCCGCAAGCCGTATTCTCGTCTCAGGCTCCAACCTCGGCGAGCTCATCGGTGCCGCTTCGGTGTTTGTGCTGGGGGACAGGATACCGACGCCTATACCGTGGATCAGGGCTGACGCACTGCTACTCCTCCTCGTCTGGGTGCTTCCGTTCTACCCTTCTCAGGACACCAGTACGGCGGCGTTATGGCGCCTTGCACCGCTGTTTATACCCATCTCGTTCGGGTGGGCGGCGGGGGATGTGAGTCTGGCGGCGTATATACAGAGCGCGCTGGCCGGGGGCCATGAGCAGAGGGATGAGAATATATCGGACCTGAGCGCCGTGATGGCGTTTCTGTACTCGGTGTATATTGCCCTTTTTGCGGTTCTGGCGCCGGTGCTGGGGATGGTGGCGGATAAGGGCGGGGATGCGAGAGTGACGGTGGTGTGGGTGGGGGGCGTGCAGGTTAGTGTTGTGGCGGCGTTGTTGGTGGGCAGTACGTTTGTGCCGAGGGGGGGAGCGGGGTGGAATCCGCGTTTGGAAGGGATGACGGCGGGGTAGAGGGCGGTAGTGTGTAATTTTATATAGATTTTGGTTATGAGCTTGGATTCGGTTCGGTGCTGTGGTTTGCGCATGTGTGTGCGGTGTGGGAAGCCAGCTATGCACAGCTGAAGAGTAGGGCTTAGACTACTAAGGAGGTTGTTGTCCTTAGCTAGAGCACATGTGTCGTTAAGATTTAGAGTGTATTCATTGTGTGTAGTGTAGTGGGGGAACCTCTGTTCCCTACTCTACTACTATCTTCATTAATAATGGATTGCTTTGCTCATACTGCACTGGTCAGTGAGTTTGAGACAACCCGAATCAGTCTGACACTTTTCATATTGGTATGTACATGGGCTAATCTAACAAGAATATATTGGTACAAAGTCCTATCTGACACTCATTTGGTACACTTACTATTATGTGCCCGCTTCTGACATGACCACAAACCAGATATATACACTGATCAGGATGCTGAGGAAACTTTCCCACTCCCGACAAGTAACAACTCGAGGGAGCTTTCCCAAGACTCCGACAATTTCCTAGTATTCCCCGCATAGATTCGCAACCCCTCTGGCAATTCCATCATTAGTACAAGATCATGAAAACGCCTTAAGAAAGCTGGAATTAGTCCTACAAAATGTCTCTTCTGACTGTTAACATCTCAACCTCACTGACTGGTACAGCACTTCATATGAATAGCGTGGTGTAGTTCGTTCACTTAATACCAGCGTTCACCAACACTTTCACCGCGCAATTCTGCTTTACCCACAGAAGGAGAGGATGAATTAGGTCTAACTACTTTATGAATTCAGTAACCGTTATTCATAGGATATCACTCGGATATCTACAGGCAATTACTGACGCAGCAACCAACAGCTTTTGATCCCACAAATAAGCAACACGCCACCAGAATTCTTCTATTCAACTTTCTCAATTAGAATACAAAAAGTGCGGATATTTCGCTATTGTCCCGCACGGAATACAAAAAGACTTTTTCACCCCCATTTACCACAACTATCTAAATTACAACTGTTTTTGTCTAAGCTCATCTCCTACCTTTTGGCTTCCCCCTGCTCTTTGGCTTTGATTTCGACATCTTATTGTCAAACTTCTTCGCGCCCTTTGAGGCGCCGCCAGGGAGTGTCTTTCCCTTGCCCTTGCCCTTGAGCTTACTGCCGCGGTCGGCCTTCGTCTTCTTATACGCCCTCGCCTCTTCCTGCTCCTCACGCCCCTCCATCCTCTTCCTCTTCTTATTTGACAGTTTCTCCTTCCTCTCGGGCAGCTCCACGCCGTTCAGCTGCGCTCGAGACACCTTCCCGCGCGCATCCTTCTCCTGTTGAGTCTCGAACCAGGTCCGGCGCGGCCGCGCCTTGATCTCGTCCTCGTATTTGATGAGGTTCTCACCACGGCGCACCTGCATCTCCAGGCTCTGCATCTGCTTCTCCTGCTTCTCCTCCTTCAGGATCTCCTCGATCTCCTCCTGCAGTTCGTCGATCTTCTTGCCCAGTTCGTCGACCTTGGTCTGGTCGAGAACGCGGGATACCACCTTGACGCTCTGATCCTGCGCGGCCTTGACGGCCGCTTTGACGACCTTGCGGTCGGGCTCTGCGGCGAGCGTGATTGCACGACCCTGCCGACCCGCACGAGCGGTACGTCCGACTCTGTGGAGGTAGATCTCGTGCGATTGCGGCGCTTCGTAGTTGATGACGACGTCCACGCCCTTGATGTCGAGACCACGAGAGGCGAGATCGGTCGCAAGAAGGAAGTCGGCTTTTCCGTCACGGAAGACCTCGACGGCCTTCACACGCTGCTCCTGGGAGAGGGAGCCGTGGAGCTCGGCGGCCTTGAGGCCGAAGAGACCAAACACGACGCGGGCGCGGTGGGCGAAGACCTTGCTGCGGAAGAAGACGATGACGCGCTGGTGGAAGTAGTCCTTGCAGAGGAGGACGAGCATGGCGAGGCGGAGGTGGTCGCGCTGCGGCCGGATGCGCACGAACTCTTGCACGAGCGTCTTGACGGTGCTGAGCTTTGTGTCGACCATGATGCGGACGGGGCGCTGCAGGGAGAGGCGGATGAGCTTGTCGACGGAGTCGGTCATGGTGGCGGAGAAGAGCATGGTCTGCCGGCTCTTGGGGATGGTGTTGATGATCTCGTTGAGCTCGTCGGCGAACCCGTCCTCGAGCATGCGGTCGGCCTCGTCCATGACGATGATCTCGATGCTCTCGACGGAGAAGCCGCTGGAGTTGCGCATGTGGTCGATGAAACGTCCGGGCGTGGCAATGATCACGTCGGGGCGCTGCTTGAGCTCCTGCTCCTGCACCTTGAGGGAGAGACCTCCGACTGCGAGCGCAAACTTGATGTCTGTGAATGCCGCGAGCTTGACCGCGACACTGTGCGCCTGCATGGCCAGCTCACGGGTCGGGCAGAGGATCACGACGCGGGACGTGGGCACCTTCTTGGGGCGGAAGAGCAGGCGCTCGAGGATCGGGACGATGAAGGCCGCCGTCTTGCCGGACCCGGTGACGGCACCTCCGACGACGTCTTTCCCGAGGAGCGCCACGGGAATGGTCTTCTGCTGGATGAGCGTGGGCGTGGTGAAGCCGACATTGGCAAGCCCGCGCAGAATCGGCCGCGAGAGGTTCATGGTCTGGAAGTTTGCGGATGTGCGCTGCTTCATGTCCTCGCCCTCTTCCTCGGGCGCGAAGAAGGCAGCCTTTTTGGCGGCCTCCTCGGGCGACTCCTCGGTGTCGCTGGCTGCGCCGGCGTCACTATCGTCGGAATCCTCATCGTCGGGGTGGGGAACGGCAGAGGCAACAGACTCGGCGTCGGAATCATCGCCGGCGGGGGCTTCCTCGTCGTCTGAGTCCTTCGCTTTCGACGCCTTCTCTTCATCATCATCATCCTCTTCAGCTTCCGAGTCCGCACCAGCTCCAAACCCGTCCTCCGCAAGATCCTCGTCGTTCTCGTCGAAGCCGGTAAACTCGACAGCGGCCTCATCGTCACTGCCTTCCTCTTCCTCCTCGCCTTCCTCCTCATCCTCCTCCTCATCCTCCTCATCCTCCGTGTCCGCATCCTCGTCATCTTCTTTGCTCACAGCCTCAGCGCCCTTCCTCCGCCGAATGATATCGTCAATATCAACCCCCTTCTTCCCATCCTTCATGGCGCTCTTCGCACCCTCAAACCCCCACCCTTCATACTCACCCACGTCCGCGCCGCCGTCGCCCGCCATAAACTCAAAGTCCGAGTCGAGGCCGCCGTCGTTATCATTCGCCTGCGCCTCCTCGGCCGCAATGCGCTCCTTCACCCGCTTGCGCTTCTTACCGCGCTTCTGCTTCTCGCTCAGGGCCTCGGGCTCCGGCGACTCCTCTTTGGTGAGCGCCTTCTCGGCGGTGATGGCGTCGTCGTCCTCGTCGAGGTCTGGGATGTCGTCCTCGCTGTCGGAGATGGTCATGACGAAGTCGTCGACGAGCTGTTTGATGGGCTCCGGGGTGGCGCTCTTGCCATTGGGGGCGGGTTTGCTGCGCGCCATTGGGTGTTGTGGAATGGCTTTGCGGGTTTTGGGGGTTTTGAGGTTTTGGGTTTTGCGTTTTGCGTGCATGGGAAAAAAATGTTTGTGCGACGGGGTGGTGGGGCGCCCGGGTAACTGTGCTGGCAGGGACAGGGGTGGTGGTGGGTGTGCCAAGAGTCTAGAGGTGCGAGTGAGAGAGCGTGATTGGCGCTATCCCAGGGCTTGTGATTGATTAGAGAGATTTCGCACAAAATATTTTAAATTTGGGTAGGGTTTCCAGATATAGGAAGGAAGCGACAGTGGTATGAGCCAGATTTGTTTGATGTGATAGATGTATTGGCCACCGGTGGAGACTTTTAAAACTACAGATTGGGATTCGCAGTTACAGAAGCCTCGTATGTTAGGTTAACGGTAAATTTTAGCTGGGTATTTGCTGAATGAGGAAGATTTCTGGTTGCCCTTCGACCCCCACCACGGTGTCCTTCCTCCAATCCCAACAGGCACTTAGCGCGGTATCCGAATTTAGAATATTCGCTGCGGGACCTCTCTATTGATTACTTCGTTGGTTTATACGAGGGCTTGGGATGGGAAGCGGGTAGGTTGGTAGGTGTGGTTGGTTGGTGGGTTGATGGGTTAGGGGTGTGAGTCCGGTGCTACGAGATGGGGCTTTAGGTTCGAGTTCTTTTATGCATCGATTCCGAGTTTGGTTGCGGGTGGCTGCATGTATATAGAAGAGGGTGGCCAGTGGGTCATGATGTACGTCGTGGTAGAGTGTCATGGTAGGGTGAGGTTTCTATAGCTCCTCTTATCCTCGCCCCGCCCCGTTAAGTATTACTTCCGGGCCACTGACAATTGTGTGAGCGAGTTTAGTCTAGTGGTAGACAGCTCGTCTTGCTACACCGAGTGGGTTGAGTCCCCATGACCATCTACCGGTAGGTCGATCATGGGTTCAATTCCGGGGGTGGGAGTGTTGCTGTGGTGTATACTGTAGCTATGTACCGGGAAATAGAGCGCAATATAACGGAAGTTGATCCCAACGGGTCCTTTCGCGAGTTGAGCCCATAGCCCTGGGAATGAATGCTATACGGCCAGAGATCACTTTTTGTAAATTTTATTTTCAAAATTTATTGCCCATTTTTTGGTTTTTGGAGCTTGTTAATTGGGTGGGTATGTGTGATATCGATCAGATCTCTGGCCCGTAACCGCAGCTTGGTTATCTTAGCTTCTCGCTCATTATTTGGCCAATTGGTTGATTTCACTCTCCCCCATGGTCAGGGCCGGATGTACGATTAGGCTGGTTTAGCGAAACCCTATGTATTTCGGACCATATTCTTTTCATGTAGTATAGTACATGTAGATAGATACATGTATTGTGTATGAAGCAGAAAATATGTGCGTGTGTTGACCATGGTAATTCGCCGGCCTCGCTGCTGAAGGGCAGCGGGAAAAAAAATACAGAGAATGAGAGCTCCTATCTATGTATGTCTCAAGGTCGTATCTTTCTAGCTAGACCTTTGACGTAACTGCCGGCGTAAGGCCAAATAAGTCGCTCTTGATTTACGATCTGCTTCGACTAGCGGGCTGTCAATTCATACATACCTGCTAGTTGTATGTACCCCCCTCCGAATATAGCAACTAATATCTACGAAACCTCTCATAATTCCAGGAGTTCTAAATGCCCTGGTACTATTGTAAAGTCTCGGCTCTCACACAAGCACGAGCTACAGCTGCCTCGTCTTTACTAATTGCATGATGACGAAAAGGCCAAACTAGACCTCCTAGATAAGATTAGAGTATTATAAACCGCCAGCCTTATAACCACTCCCCATATCATAATTATCGGGGTGCTAATGCTCGAGTGGTTTGTAAACGAGTGATTTTTCATGACGACGGAACCCAATTTCAGGGCTTGGGGATTTCTCGTATTTTACCTTCGGGAACTAGGGCTCGTGGGTAGTAGTCGTTTACAAGGAGCCCAGAGTAATCTTTTTGAGTTATTTGGTGAGGTTGATAGTATTTCTCGATCCGGGCACGGAGATAAGAGTACCGTTGCTAGCGGCACCCAAACCGGGAACTAAAGAAAAATCTTCGGTTTAGCGTATCCTGTCAGAGCTCAGACGATAGCTAAAATGCAACGGTGACGAAAGTGGAGATATCATTCCCCCACAGGGCTATTCCTATGGTCGGGTATATATAGTAGCTTTATGGTGCACTCCCGGCTTGTTATATAGACCGCCCTTTATCTGAGAGCCGACATAGTAGGACTTACACTATTTAGGTTGGAGAGGTGGTTTATGTTCCGTATATAATCCCCACTCATTTCTGGGGTACTAGTGCCTGTTTCCCCTCAGTGGATTTGTGCATAAGCACAGCATTGATGGGTCTTCAACTCGACCACCAATTATCGCTCCCCGCATATTGTAGTAAATAATCAGCCCCGAGGTCCAAGATTAGAAGCTCCTCAATAGCCATCATTACTGGATGCAATCATACAGTCTGCTTAGGTTGAGGTTCATCGTGCGGCCAAAGCCTAGTTGTGTAATCCAATGCGTTCCGGAATAATTAACGGCCTTTTTAGAAGCTTGGGTAGTGGAGCGTGCGTGGAGAACAATAGGCGCCAGTCTGGGTCCAAAATTGTTGTTCCTGTGAGGTATAATCGGCTGGTGCTAGTAGATCAGTGGATCTATAAAGGAGGTATGGTTTAACCTATCTAGCACTTATTGAACCTTTGTTGAACTAGTCGGTGTTAGATAATAGGTTCTTCCTTATCTGTAAGCGATTTAATATGTGAATGTCCGTTATAGTCCCTTGATCCGAGTTCCATGGCCGGTTGATGGTGTTAAGCTCCAGTCCCGTAGTAATTTGGGTAGAGATTTCAAGGCCCAAAGGGGTCATGAATGACATCTTCAGTTCTAGATCCCGCTGTGACGTACGGCTTAGGGCCTAGTTAGGAGGGGCGATCGAGGATTAGATCTCTCGTGGCCTGAAGCTTGGAGCCAGCAGCTATCATTTGATAGTAATAATAACAAAGATGGCGACCAACGGCGATAAAGCACCCCCAATGACCCGTGCGCAAACGGCCGACGTCAAAGAGATGGAGGGACGTTCTCCCTTTCGTCGCCTCCCATCACTTTTTTATAATAGGGTGTGGCTGGTGGGGGTTGAGCTTCTCGTCCCTTGAGTTCTAGATGGACAAATGTAAAATGTAGTGAGAGAAGAGAGGTGCTAGTGTGGGAGACGAGAGTGCCGTGTGGGAGATGAGAGATACCACTAGTATAAGGATGAACGAGGAAAGGATGTAGAATACTGCGGCAGGGCGTGTAGTGGTGTACAAGACTCTGCCCTCCCTACCAAGGGGGCTCGAGGAGATGGGCTCAAAGCTAACTCTGCCGCACAAACAGACATGCCCTGGTAGTGTAGTGGTTAACATACCAGAAACTCAGCACGTAGGTTTAGAGCTGTGAGGAGATCTTGGGTTCGAATCCCAATCGGGGCAATATCAATTCTTTTTTCCTATTTTTCTCGCTAGCTTTTTTTCTCGCTCCCCGGCAGGGCGTGTAGTGGTGTACAAGACCCTGCCCTGCCTACCAAGGGGACTCGAGGAGATGGGCTCAAAGCTAACTCTGCCGCGCAAACAGACATGCCCTGGTAGTGTAGTGGTTAACATACCAGAAACTCAGCACGTAGGTTTAGAGCTGTGAGGAGATCTTGGGTTCGAATCCCAATCGGGGCAATATCAATTCTTTTTTCCTATTTTTCTCGCTAGCTTTTTTTCTCGCTGCCCGGCAGGGCGTGTAGTGGTATACAAAACTCTGCCCTCCCTACCAAGGGGGCTCGAGGAGATGGGCTCAAAGCTAACTCTGCCGCACAAACAGACATGCCCTGGTAGTGTAGTGGTTAACATACCAGAAACTCAGCACGTAGGTTTAGAGCTGTGAGGAGATCTTGGGTTCGAATCCCAATCGGGGCAATATCAATTCTTTTTTTCTCTTTTTCTCACTAGCCTTTTTTCTCGCTCCCCGGCAGGGCGTGTAGTGGTGTACAAGACTCTGCCCTCCCTACCAAGGGGGCTCGAGGAGATGGGCTCAAAGCTAACTCTGCCGCGCAAACAGACATGCCCTGGTAGTGTAGTGGTTAACATACCAGAAACTCAGCACGTAGGTTTAGAGCTGTGAGGAGATCTTGGGTTCGAATCCCAATCGGGGCAATATCAATTCTTTTTTTCTCTTTTTCTCACTAGCCTTTTTTCTCGCCCCCCGGCAGGCTGTCTCTTCAATACAGGGTGCTTTTGTTCTTGATTTAGGCCGGTGTTTATCTCTATATTGCATACTGCTGACTTCTACCTGTACTCTCTTAGGGTTGATTGCCCTTCGTTGTTTTGAAGTGTTTCTCAGGCCTGTGGAAGCATGCTATCTCCCACCGCACTAGCGAGTAGGAGCTCGTCGGGAGTTGAACCTACTGTCAACACTCGGTAGGCGTGATGTCCCGCTCAGCTCTGCAAGCTTATCTGGGCTTCCCTCCTAGCTTGTTAATTGTAGCTTCTGATGAAACGCAGAGTTGAGATTCAGGAAGCTTTGCCTATAGCTACCGAGTGATTTACAGTGACCCACCAAACCTCACTCCGCCAGTCCTCACCCGCAACATTCCAAACACCACCACACACCACAACTTGCACGAAGGCTTCCAGACTCCACACCCCGCCCGAAAGCACCGCTGCCCCCCCGTAGCCCGCAACCGCACAAATACCTGCCCGGCCAATCATTACCCCCTGTTACTAATCCGCCAAGACACTCTACGCGCGCCCTGTCGCGTCCACCCACCGCCGCAACCTCGACTCCACGATTCGAATTGCTACAGCTGGTTGCAATTGTGCACAACCTGTCACTCACAACTCACAACTCACAACCTCCCATCCTCACCAACCCCCGCGCACACCAGCCAGCCGCAATGTCTGACATCGACGAAATGGAGCTCGACGACGAGCGCATAGCGGAGACGGAGCGAACCTTTGACAGCGGCTCGAAGGGGAAGAAACTCAGCAAAGCTAACCTGCCTGTCAGCGCCGGTGACACCCTTCCTTGGTGCGTTGCTCCCGTCTAGTCTAGTGCGGTGGTGAATTGAGCTGATACTGCCCTCCTACAGGGTCGAGAAGTACCGTCCTGAGTCACTCGACGATGTCTCTGGCCACGAAGACATCCTGCAGACCAGTACCCCTCCCCCTCCCCCACCTCCACCCCCTCTCCCCTTCGCGCACAGCTAACACACCCACAGTCAACCGCTTCGTCGCCACCAACCGCCTCCCGCACTTGCTGTTCTACGGCCCCCCCGGCACCGGCAAGACGTCGACGATCCTGGCGCTCGCGCGCCACATCTACGGCGCGCACAACATCCGGCAGCAGGTGCTCGAGCTCAACGCCTCGGACGACCGCGGCATCGAGGTGGTGCGCGAGCAGATCAAGACGTTCGCCTCCACGAAGCAGATCTTTGGCGGCGTGGCGGGGAAGAAGGACGGGCTGGGCGCGTTCAAGCTGATTATCCTGGACGAGGCCGATGCGATGACGAGTGCGGCGCAGAATGCGCTGAGGAGGATCATGGAGAAGTATGACATTGCCCTGTTTTCCCCCCCCATTGCCGTGCCCTGAGGAGATTTAGAAGGGGGATGGCTGATGGATTGATGTGGTAGGTACACGGCCAACACCCGCTTCTGCATCATCGCAAACTACACGCACAAGCTCAACGCCGCCCTCCTCTCCCGCTGCACGCGCTTCCGCTTCTCGCCCCTCCCGCTCGCCGCCCTGCGCAAGCGCGTCGACCACGTCATCGCCGCCGAGTCCGTGCTCATGTCCGACTCTGCGCGCGACGCCCTCCTCAAGCTCTCCCGCGGCGACATGCGCCGCTCCCTCAACGTGCTGCAAGCCTGCCACGCCTCCACCACGCCGCTCGACGCCCGCGGCCACCCGGACCCCGCCGCGCAGCGCGAGACAATCACGGAGACGCACATCTACGAGTGTGTGGCGGCGCCGCACCCGGAGGATGTGAAGCTGATTGTGGAGACGCTGCTGGGCAGCGATGTGACGACGGCGCTGAGGACGATTGTGGAGGTGAAGAGACGGAAGGGGCTGGCGCTGGCGGATCTGTTGGCGTGTTTGGGGGAGGAGCTGGCGGTGCTGGAGGTGCCGGCGCAGACGAGGGTGTTGTGGATGGAGGGGCTGGCGGAGGTGGAGTGGAGGGTGGGGAGTGGCGGGGGGGAGACGGTACAGACGGGGGCGTTGGCGGGGGTTGTGAGGAAGGGGGTGGAGGTCATGAAGAGGTAGTGGTGGATGGGTGGATAGATACATAGGTGGGTAGGTACATGAGGTAGGTAATGAATAAATGAACTTGAATCAGGGCTGTTTGGAACGGGATTGTGAGTAGAATAATAGAAACGAAACGCAAATAGCCTGTGTCTCCAAGCCTCATATATCAAACTCCCAGCTTTATAGCCCACCATTAGTATATGTACTTTAACAACAAATCATTGACCCCGGATCTCGACAATTCAAACCGCCAACCCCAGTCCAAAATATAACCAAAAAACTGCACTCAAAGACCCACCGCTAGTTCAAACCGAGAGTAATCAACCTTTGGCATGATCGAGGGCTCCGCAGGCGTTGAGCTTTGCAGGTTGCGGGTTATAAATTAATGGTTATATATGCATGGTTTGGTTGATATCTACTATAGTGGAGTATAAAAGAAAAGGTTTCGCTAAACTCTAACCCTACATCCGGCCCTGGGGGGTGGGGAGACCAAATTATGAGCGAGAAGATAAGATAGTTCAATCTGCGATTGTAGGCCGGCCAGAGAGAGCTCTGATCGATATCACACACATACCCCACTAAGGAAGCCCTCAGGCCCCTCAAAAAAAAAAAGAAATCAAGGAAATGGGCAATAAATACACAAAAAGTAATGCTCTGGGGTGTACGCCCCTCACGGTAGGATCTAAGTAAGATCAACTCCCGGTATATCGGACTCTACTCCCCGTTACCTGCCGTACACCCCAGAGCATTACTCCCACCCCCGGAGTTGAACCCATCCATGACCTCCGGACGGTCATGGTGGCTCAACGTTAACCCACACGGTGTAGCAAGACGAGGCGTCTACCACTAGACTACCTCGCCCACACAACTGTCAAAGGCCGGGAAGTAATACTTAAGGGAGTGAGGGCAAAGCGAGCTAGCTCAAGTAGGGACACCTAACCCCGACATGAGAATCTACATCGTGGCTCACCACCATGCCAACCTCTTGTTGGAGATAGGAAGCTAACCTAGCCGCGAAGGAGGGCGGGTGGGTTAAGAGAAGTGTTCGGGCCTGGTATACTCTATGGACTCTGGGATATGGAGGTTGAATTATTGGAATATTGGTTTGAAGAAAGTTTGAGAGTGGCCGGGTTCTTGCTTCTCTTGGGCGCATTGAAAGAAGGTTTCTGGGGAGTGGGGTTTTTTTTTTTTGTAACAACCAGATGGAGGAAATCCACCTTTGGGGATATTATGTGAAGATTTATCGCACTCCTACCTTCTACCGCACCTATATGTCGGAAGATGGGGGGCCGGCGAAGCTGCGGTAGGGTTGGGGCTGTTTCTTGTTAGATTTTGATGATTCATTAATTGTGCGCAGTCTTTTTAGGTTTTTGCAGGTAGGTGTTTTTTGCATGTAGTCTTTTGTAGATATTCAATATTTTAAATATCAACAAGGTTTTCTATAGTTTTCTTCCGTAGATACAGCTCTACAGTAGACACCCCGCGGGGGTCACCGCTAGATCACGGTTCTTTCCAAAACTTACTTTCTCTATCCCCTAGAGCCTGTCTTCCTGAGCCTACCGACTTCCTGTCCTCTAGATCTATTGTATTTACATACATGTATGTACACTCCGTTCAAGGGTGAGGGCGCCGGGTGGGGGGGGTTAGGATTACCGAAATCTTTTTATATAGAGGTGATACGCCGTTTTCTTTCGCGCTGCTTATGCCGGGCATTAAATTGTGTCCTTTTCGGCTTGTTATTATTACTCGAAGCTGTTCCTCCTTTTCTTTTCTTTTCGAATTCGTCAATTAGCTGTTCACATGGTCTAGTGAGTAGCGGCTCTCATACAATACCTACAACCTTGAACAGAGAAAAACCACAAACTCCCAACGTCCCCCCACACACACCCCAGCTACAGCAACGCAACCCTCCAATCACAACCGCTCACTCGGCGCACCACTGTCGTCACCGCCAAGCCCTCATCCCAGGGTAACCAGCTCTCACCCATCCACTCCCGGCATCCTCTCTCTCCAGCCATCTACACAGCACAAACACACCCTCCACACTTACAAACATGTCCAACCCACGCCCGCAACGCCCCAAGCGCCCCGGCGCCACCCTCGACGCCGCCGTCCGCTCCGGCGCCGGCCTCCCCGACTCCAAACGCCCCAAATTCGACGTGCGCAACCCCTTCGAGCTCGCCCCGGACGCGCCCGACGACGACGACGTCTTCCTCGAGGTTGATGAGGGCGCCGTGGGCAAGCGCCGGGTCCGCAGGAATCGTGTCGATATCGAGGGCTATGAGAGCGACTCATCGGGCGATGGCTTCGACGAGACGCATAAAGCGTGGAAAGCCGACGATGAAGGAGCGGCCGACGGGAAGGGCGAGGAGGATGAAGATATGTTCGCGGACCTTAGGGATAGTGGCGATGAGGGCGCGAAGCCGGAGGTGAAGCGCGGGGGGCCAGGCGATAAGACGAAGAGGAGTGTCAAGTTTATGGAGCTGGAGCAGATTGAGGGGCAGGACTTTGCGAGTAGGCGTGAGTTTGCGGATATCATTGATGAAGATAAGGGCAAAGGCGACGACAGCGGAGACGAGGATGAGGAACCGGAGGAGGTCGATTCGGAGGTGGGTGAGGGTGGGAAGAAGAAGAAGGCGCCCAAGATCGATGCGTTCAATATGACGAGCGAGATGGACGAGGGGCGCTTTGACGACGCTGGGAACTTCATCAGGAAGGCGGCGGAGAAGGACGCGGTCCATGATAGCTGGTTGCAGGGCGTCAGCAGGAAAGATATGAAGCGCGCGAAAGAGGCGCGGGAGAAGCGAGACAAGGAATTGAGGGAGAAGATGAAGGAGGACGATGCCATCTCGACCAGCGGGGTGCTGGCGGAGCTCATTGGGTACCTGGAGAAGGGCGAGACGGTCCTGGAGGCCCTGGCGCGCCTTGGAAATGCAGGCAAGAAAAAGAAAGCCGCCAATAAGATCTCGTGGCGCGAGAAGAAGAAGAAGGCGGCCGGCGGTGACGAGATGGAAGTCGACAAGGGAAAAGAGCCTGAAGATCCTGTGGAAGCCCGCCGGAAAGAAGCAGTCGAGCGTATCACTGGCGCCGCTGACCGCCTCCTCACCCGCGGTCAGAACGAGATATACGACGAGACCCGCGAGTCGCTGATCCGCCAGTACCGCCGCGAGAGCGGCGAAGACTGGGTTGAGCCAAAGGCCCCGGGAGCCCAAGACAATGGCGCGCCGGTATCAAAGACGTGGGAGTTCCGGTGGACGGACGGCAGAGACGATGGCGGCGTGCATGGGCCGTATGGGACTGCTGAGATGGCGAGCTGGAATCAGCACGGGTTCTTTGATGAGGGGGCAGAGTTCCGGTGGGTCGATGGGTCGGAGGGGTGGACTAGAGTTACTGACTTTGAATAATACTAATGGTGGGTTTCTCTTCTCGTGTGCGCTGTTTGTATGTAGTTCATGTACGATAGCTTGCTGGTGATATGGCGAATACCAGCCCTGATGTGCGATGATGCAGATGGTGGTGATGGCAGGGCCCAGTTATGGTTGTGACTTGTACTTCTTTTTTTTATTATTCTTTTTTCTTTCTTTTCTTCCTTCCTGAGTCTTATTATTTTTTAATCCATATCCTGGCCGCTATAGATCTCCTACTTAAAGCTAGTTACATCATTTTTCTTGAAATCGTAAATCGTTTGCATGGTATCCGACACTGGCACGGAGTCCCACACCTGGCGCACACCTTTCCTCTGATAACATCAATCTGCTCACCACCACCCATCGATCCCATCGCGGGAGCGCTCAAATCGGCTCATGTCAATGAATTGACTGACGACATATGCAGTCACAAGATCGGCGGCCATGTAGGCGGGAACCTGGGAATTTCAGTCAGCTTAAAGCAGTATTCCCAGCGTGTGGAGGGGCAGTGCGTACAGCAATCCACCAGCTCATTATTTTGGGTAATTATGTTAAATTGCAAGGTTGTGTAATATGTTTATTCTGGTAATTGCGGTTATGGGAGTGGTGGTTGTAGTTGTGGTTGTACAAATTGTGGTGGTTGTAGTAGCGGAGATGTGCTTTTAGCTTTTCTGTGCACGAGAATGAATCTTTAAATTCTGTGACGGCTCTTTTTTTGTTTTGTCTAGCGTTGTGTGGTGACAATTACGTCGTGCGGGAGTATAAATACTATGTGGCCTTTCCTCTTTACCCAGGCCTTGCGTAATGTCTTCTGAGTTCTGATTTCACAAGGCGTCACTGTCACCGTCACTATCACCGTCACTGCCACCCAACCAGACAGACACAGCTATGGGAATGATGAGCTTTTCAAATGGAGCGTCAAAACTAATAGATTACAGTGGATAGAGGCGGGTGGTTGACGATATTGACGAACTTAAGCTAACTCTCGAGGATGAATCTAGGGCGGCTCGCTGAACGAAGCTGTGGTGTCCTCTCCTCAAGGAAGTCATCCACTGCAGATTCTAAAACTATAAGCACTAATACCACTACATCTGGCGAGGTTATAGTCGCTGCCGTTACTCTGTTTTATCAGAAAGCAGATGTGTATACACCCTTTGCCAGATCGGGCCACCTGGATATAAGGGAGTACATATCTCTACAAAGCACCCATTCTGATTACAGAGCTTCCTGTCTGCTGGTCGGACTTGATTAAGTACTTCACATGTCTGCTTCAACTCTATGACTAGATTTGATCAACATGTGGAAGAAGGTTCCCCCATTTTTCGCCTGTGTTTCTGGCAAAAATGCGCAATTTATGCTCGAAATGAGGTCTTGCCATCAGCTGGCTGCTGACCCAAGTCTATTATGCGCTAGCTCTTGAGAACAGACCGCTGGCTTGGTGAGCATTAGTATTCTCTAGTCCATGGAAGGAACGGCCCTTCCCAAGCTCTGCTCTTAAACCATCGGATGAAATACGGATGTCGAAATGGGTGGGGAAATTATGGCCTGTAATGGCAGCGACAGAACTATGTGTGGCTCATGATCAGGAAAGGACCCTGCGCACGAAATCAGAGTCAGTCGGGCGCTGCAGAATTCTGATTCTGGAAAAACAGCCCTACCAGACTGAGACCTCTGACCTGGTTAAAGCCTAGACTGCTTGTGTGACTTGTTGCACTAGAATTGGTATAGCGCCCGTCTTATAGACCCTTTTAAGAATTTTTCCTATGGACGATCATTTCCTCTTATGATCGGGTAGACCTCGCGAGAAACCTCTCCCGCCATTTGTTGACGACAGATTTCTCAATCGGGTATCGTGCCAACTAGTTAGTAAAGTAGCTTGACGAAACCGTCTTGGAATGAGCCAACTCCATTGGCTGTTGCCTGATTACTGACATCAATAATAGTGATTGCAGAGACATAAACAAGGAACGTGTACCCATACATCAATACCGGTACCTCTCTGAGTTGTCAACGCCTGGAAGCACGATACTGGACGCCGCCCCATCATGGACAGGTACATGCCTTTATCAAGGTTCGAGGAAATTCTGGTGCTACAGTTCCAGGATTTCAAAACTACCGGTAGCACAATCATTTCCTGTTATTATATAAGAAGAGTTGTACTGCAGACCCATGCACGTAATAATCTAATTCAGTAGGATTCTTGCATGAAGTGCTCAGTACCGGGTAATTCCGCTAGTGTTGCTTCACGATCCTTCAATCCCATCAGCCCTAGCCCTTTCAACTACATGCAACCCACTTCTCCCCTCCCCTCATCCCCCTCCTCTCCCTGAATCTCACGATGCCACCCACTCCAGCCTTTTGGAACCTCGAGCAGCCTGGCCTATATTGGAAGAGCGGCCTGGTACCCCCGGCCCCTAAATGGACAAAGGAACCTTCACTCGACATAATCCGCCGTCTCTCCCGACAGCATCTCCCCGTATCGGAGGAGCAGGCAATTGATATAACATTCCTGTCAGCAGGAGTGACCAATAAGTTATATACGGTTTCTTGGGAGGGTCAGCCCAAAAGTTATGTTTTCCGCGTCTCTCTCCCAGTAGAACCATTCTACAAAACGGAGAGCGAAGTCGCTACTATGCGCTACGTCCGTTACAGCACTACCATCCCTGTTCCTCGCATCCTGGCATACAATTCGTCAACGGAGAACGAACTCGGGTTCGAATGGATATTAATGGATAAGCTGCCTGGGTGCACATTACTGGAGGTCTGGCGGGAATGGGGCCAAGAGGAGAAGGCATCCGTGGTGAGAGAGGTGGCAGGGTATGTTGCGCAGCTGCGGGAGAAGTTGAGGTTCGCATCAGAGGGGAACCTGTATTATCGACGGGCGATGGAAAAGGCTGCCAAAGAGGATATCGACATTCGATATGAGTCTGTGGGCGAGTTCTCGCATGTCGTTATTGGGCCAATTGTTGCGCCGTTCTTTTTTACGGGGCGGCGCGCAAGGATGCAGAGGAATAGGGGACCTTTTCATTCGGATCACGAATATATGATGGCGCAGATGCAGGTGCAAGTAGATGATATGGAGTTTCTATTAAAGAGCCGGGCGGCGTCGGCGGGAGAGGGGGACGAGGAAGTAAACAGCATCATTGAGTTCGACGAACGTCTGGCCGCAGATGTTCCCGAAATCTTGGAGGCCTGCTCTTCACTTAGTTCCCTCCTCCCTTACATCTTTCCACCTGAGCCTCCAGTCACAGAGGCTGTTTTTCATAATGGTCCCAACAGGACCGGGGAGATAAGCGTGGATTTTGATCATCAATACATATTACACCACGCCGACCTCTCACTTACCAACATCATGGTAGACCCAGACCGCTTTAGGATCACCGGTCTTGTGGATTGGGAGTCGGTGAATATCCACCCTCGCTGGGAGGAGAAAACATACCCACAATTTCTCACTGGCCCAGTCGTTGAGGAGAAGCCACCGCCCCTGCCGCTGAATGAAGAGGATAAGGACAAGGACAAGGACAAGATACAAGAGCACCTGGACAATTGGGAGAAAACGGTGCTCCGACGGGTATTTGATGAAGAGCTAGGGTGGATCTACAGGAGAAAGAGCTTTCAGGATTCCACACAGGATGAGGAATGGGCAAAGAGGAAAAGAGAATTCAAGGAGCACCTGGAGCAGGTAGAGTTCTCGCCGGAGGTAGTAAAAAAATGGGCGGATGAGATGAGGGTGAGAATGGAACAAGAGAAGGCGGATACGTAATGTGAGGAAATTCTATTTTGGAAAAAAATAATTTAAAAAAAATATATAGTAAAAAAAAATATTTCATATGTTATAGACATGAATTATACTAATGATTGACTGGCCGGCTGCGGGTAGCTGTGATAGTGATTGTGGACTTTGATGAGATGCAGAACTATGTATGTGAGCGTTTTCTAAACCTTACTTGGTTCCTGTTTTTGCTCTTGGTTGAGATAATGCAGTTACAAAATAATTAAACGAAACCGCTACCCCAATATTGCCCACTACATGCTGCCCATTCTTCGTCCTTACATGCAAATCACTCTACCCTTCTCAATTAACCATGTGCGAGTATTAGTCCGACTTACCTGTGTAGGTGTTGTGTTGGCCTCGACTACCCAATTCTATGGGCGAATATATATATGCCATTGAATTTCTTGGGTACTGCATGGGACATATTTTTTCCATAATTATAAAACATCCCTTCTTGCGCATAGTGATAGATGTACTAGCCTCTCTCTTAACAACGCACCAGCAGCAGCAGAAATAACCACCGCCACGACCATCATGCTTAAATCATCAATCTTATCAGCATGGTCATCAATACTATCTACACTGCCTACATGTATCCATAGCTAGTTTCTAGGCACCTATAAGCTCCGAGAATTGGATATTGCGATGGCTGCTCTCAGGCCTGGTGATGGTGTCACTGAAGATACTCTTATAACCCTCTCCATCAACTTATATGATGGCTTGTTAGTCGAAGCTGCTGGTATTTGCAGGAGGGTTAACCTCCCCTCTTCTCCTCTCCTCCACACATACACTCCCTCCCTCCGCTTTTCTGTTATCGATAGTTGTTAACCTAGCCTTGCAGAACCTGCCCTAGGACACGGCCTGCTGTTTCTGTGGCCAGCCTTTTTGAGCTGTAGACCGGATCAAGAGAATGATAGCCTTTAAGCTAGCTGGATCTACTCCCATAATCCAAGGTTATTCTATTGAGGTGACATATCTTCATGCTGGTAATTGACGCTTACATTTGTGTCTAGTCATAGGCATTTATGACTGTTCTTGTTGGATTAAAGACTCATTAGGTCTTGGTCAAGGGAAATGCGTTTTGAGGTCCATTTGGGTTGAACTTTACTGCCGTTTGAACAATTATGCACAGTCTGGATGTTGTACTATTCGCTCACATCTTTGTGGGTACTCTCGAGACTGGCTTCTGCTTGACTGGATGGGTGGTATCTGCTCTAGAGAAGTTGGTTACTTTCTCACGCTCGGTCAGACCTGCCGACGGTGCCAGGGGTGGGGAGTTAATCTCATCTGGCTCTGAAAGCGGTAAACGCTGTCCGTGGAGCTCAATCAACAGCACGGGTACCTCTCGAAAATAGGAACTTGGGTCGGCCTATGCCTTCACCAGTCTTTCCCTACACATAACTGGGCCATAAACAAGAGGATTCAGAATCGGCCTATTGACCATATTTTGTCATAGGAGACGACAGCTTTTGGGATGCCCAGGCAGAAGACATGCACATGCCTCTTAAAAAGCCTGAGGTGGGACAGCCTTACTAAATGCCAACGCTAGTATGCGGACTATGCAGTAAACTTATAATAGGCCGGCCGAGTGATTTCCTAGATCTACACAAGTAGTTGCTGGCACCGTCCGAGACTGGTATTGTCGACCAAAAGGTCAGAATTCCCCTTAGGCATCAGCTCTCTTTATATACTGCTCGAAATTGGCTTCGCGTCACATGCTGTGACACAGACAGTACACCCCGGTCTCCCAAGACTGTAAGTGTGGGTCACTATCTCTCACTCGGCCGGTCTGGGCTTTGGACTACTACCGCAACCTCAGGTGTTTACCGTTTACTACTAAACCCGCAACATTTCCTCATAAGGACCATAATGGAAATAAAAAAGGACTCTTAAAATTTATGACAATAATCTACACATTTTAACCCACAGCACAGTACCCAACCCTAAAAAAGAAAAAGACAACCCAAAGAAACTGAAATACACCTCTAAACCCCATCTATCTCATCTATATCTAAGCATCTGATGAAGAATTGGTCAAGCTCAAATATGTACCCCAGGCAATACCCCATGTGCTCGCAAAAGGCAACTGAAATTGCAGCGGGATGACTCTAAAGTTCAGCATCTGCACTGCCGGCCATAACATATAGTTCGATTTCCTGTAACAAGTGTGTTAGCTCATCTCTCGCCCCCAAGCAGATCCATATTGGGACTATAGGTAAAACTCACAAGGCTGGGACATAAACATGGTCCAACTTCTTCGTAATCCCCCTTCTCCCGCCACCCTCCGCTAGCGTCATATATGTAAAGAACGCCGCCAACCCCACGGGCGCAAAACACAGCTGATCCATCACAACCCTCTTAAGAGCCGGCACCGTGCTCGCCTCCTTCGTGAGCGGGAAGCTCCTCGACAAGAACTGGAACCACTTGAATTGGAACGGCGCGACGATAAATCCCCACGCTGCGAACCTCGCCAGTCTCGCAAAGTCGAACGGCGGCGGAAGAATGCTGGAGGGCGGGATGAGCTCCTCCCCGTAGCGTGGTAGTGGCAACTTTGTATCGAGGTTGTGGAGCTGGATAGCGAGGTGGTCGTCGCTGTGGACGCCGCCGGGCTGGCGGACGGCGCGCTCGCGGATGGCGGTGACGGATTGGGCGACGGTGTCGGCCATGCCGTTGAGGATGCTATTAGTCACCATCATGGTGACGATAGGGCGGGAGTCGAAGTAGGCGTCGTAGCGACGGGCGATGCTACCAAGGAGGGCCATTTCTGCGAGGAAAACGAGAAGGTGGAGGAGTGGCTTTTGGGTGAGGAGTAGCAGTATTAGCAGGTGTTTTTTTGGGGGGGTTTTACTAAGGCTTTCAGTAAAAGGTGAAAAATCGCCTCGTTGCAACGTCTGTTTTCACGACCTTTTACTGAACGCTTAAGTATATGAAGGTAGAAATACTTACTACGGTGCCACAGATGTAGTGTGTATTTACTGCCCTTGCGAAGCGGACTCGATGTGCTGCGAGTCGAGATATCGGTATCATCGTGAAGAATTTAAAAATCAAAACAGGGCAGGGGTTTCTTGGTCTTTGGGTTTGGTGAGGAAAGAAAGCTAGGCACAAGAAAGCAAGATCCACTAGAAATTTCTAGTGACGGCCGGATGATGAAGCTGGGGAAGAAAAAGAGGGTTGGTGGGAGAGGAGACATGCTGCTTATCTGCACGGAGCTTCGCCGCCTTTCCCTTGGATGGTCACCAGTGCGACGTCATTTTTGCAGGGGTTCGGTTTCGGCGGGGTTGCAGGTAAATTTAGAACTTCTATTTCTTCACAACTAACGACATGAACTACAGTGACAAAGTGGGTGTATTTACATCTTGTGAAGCTGTAGAGAGGGGAACTCTTTACTCTGGACTGCTGACTGGGAGTTTTGACCGCGTCTATGGTTGGATATCGGCTGCTGTTTGGCGAGATTCATACACTGAGCTCGGCAAGTGCATACCCGGATTTACTACACACACCAAACATCAAACATTCGGGATAAGGATCCAGCAGCCTGGGGGCCTTGCACAATGCACAACTCGAGCATCTTTGTTGCTTCAACTCGAAACAGAACCGATCGGGGTGTTCCTTGTGCACAAACTGATAGTATTATGGGCGGCTCTATTATATATTCTAATGGACCCGATCGACCTTGACCTCAAACTGGAGACGAGACAGTACGGCATTATCCAAATGGTTCGTGGACGAGGATAAGCTCGATACCGGGGGCACTACATATCGCTAGATTTAGGTTTCACGCCAGGAGTTATAGCCCGAGTGATGGATCATAACATCCATAGCCAATGATAATATGAAAGGTTTTAAGTCCCAGAGTAAGGGTTATGTCATTTTATCCTTTCTACTGAGAACAACAACTGAGCTAGATCTTGAGCTCTATTTCCCCGCAATTTGTCTATCAGAGCCTTTCTCCCTCAGGACTTGGAGCAAAGTTCAACTGATAGATTCAAATCATATACGTACCACCAGTACAAATTTGAGTCAGATGCAGCGATGACAAGCATCGCCAATCTTAAATAACGGCATCTCGCAAAGTAGCCGGCATTCTGGAACCTGGATAATTAGTGCCTGGGCGCCAAGGCCTCCTCGACCACCTCAGGGCTCCATATCCATATAAATACTAGATATCACTTCGATATCGCACGCATGCACAGCCAGTGCTGCTAACAAGCTTCCAACAAAGACCCCAGTTAGATAGTTCACTAATCATTAAACAAACTCACCACCAAGATGTCATTCACGAGCCTCCCCGCAGAGCTACATCTACTGATAGCTACCCACCTCCCCCCGCACTCCCTTCTCTCCGTAACTCTCACCTGCCGCCGCTACCACTCTCTCTACCTCCCCCGCCTCCTCGCGCTCACCCACGACCCCAAAGGTAACCTCCCCGCCCTCCACTGGTCCATTGTCCGCAACTACCCCCTCCTCACAAAATACCTCCTCGCCACAAAACCAACCCTCATCAACACCACCACCTCTGACGGCTGGACCCCGCTCCACTACGCCGCCGCCCAGGGCCTCCCTGCAGCCATCATCCTCCTCCTCGACCACGGCGCCGACCCAAAGCAGCGCGACTATATTGGCGCCGCCCCACTCGACCACGCACCCTCCTTTGCGCCCCAGGACCGCTTCGACGACCTCCGCCGCTTCCCGTCCTACCAGTCTTGCGGCGACCGCAAGCCAGTGGACCGCTGGCATATTTGGCACGGCGAGCAGGCGTACGAAGAGATTGCGCGGCGTCTGCTGGCCGTGGGCGCAAAGGTCGATAACCAGGACCTTTTTGGGCGGACGGCACTGTTCTGGGCGGCGCGGGGGGGTGTGTGGGGCATTGCGAGGGCGCTGGTGGAGGCGGGGGCGGATGTGAATCTTGCGACGAGGGATGGGGAGACGGCGTTGATGGCAGCGGTGTGTGGGTGTAGGGATGGGGTGGAGGAGGAGGAGCGGGTAAAGATTGTGGAGATGTTGGTGGCGGCCGGCGCGGACTTGGAGGTGGTAAATGGCGCGGGGGGAGAGGTGTTTGAGATGGCGATGAGGGCCGGGGCGAGGAAGGTTATGAGGTTGTTGGTGGGTGCTAGGGAGGGGGTGGATGAGGAATGGACGGATGAGGAGATTGTAGCGTCGGGAAGGTAGGTATATATGTGGAGTTGGAGGGCATTTTAGACTTTGTGCTTTGTAGGTGTGTTTTGTATATAGCGTTGTCGATTTCATATTCTTATTATGTATTCTACTAACATTTGATGATCTAATGATTATCAAACTATAGCGAGTGTAAAAAGGATACTACTAGTACATACTTCCCCAATTAGATCAATAGTAGCATAAATATAAGTACATGTAGGTGTGAATACGAAAACCAATTCGGTGTCGAGCCGCACCTTTATTAGCTGTAGCTTCAAGAGCCCCAGCCGCATACACAATAATTGTGGTACGATCAATCTCAGGATGCCGCTGGTAAAGTTCCATCTAAAAGCTCCAAGCAGATAATATTATTTCCTAAGCATACATAAGTGCAAAAGAGCACAGCAACACAATTGTAGGGGCTTGTTCGACGGCGTCATGGGTGACTGAGATAAGGATTTATGTGCCGAAAAGGCTGTCGTAAGCCTACAAGTATGTTTTTGACTAAGGGTTAGGTAAGGCTTATATAGGGTTTTCCTGCCGTTCTCGGCACGATCCTGGACTGGTGTGAGCCAAAGCTACCAAAAGAACCACTATAGACATCGGGTTGGATGTCCCAGCGGTATTTGGCCGAGCCATTGTCTCAATACCTGCTGCGTCTTAAATATGCGTGCTCGTTCAACCCGCGCCGACTTCACTATCCAAGGAGTGATTTCAGCAAAGATTACCAGCTTCCACCCCGGCCACAGGGGATGGGGGTTGGGAACTTTTGTCTTTTTAGCAACTAGAATTAAATATACATTCCTCAAGTAGATCTCGAAATAGCACACGGCGGGTGAGCTGTTGCATTTAACTGCGTAGGTATGCGTCATACGCCATCACTCGACCCAGTGTTATAGTCTTGGCATCATATCGAGGTGAGTACACCGCCCAATAGTAATTCCCAAATCATAGGATAGCGATATTGGTAGCGGGTGAGATCTCTACTAAAATGTCTACTTCCATCCTATCTTTTCATTAACCCATCCCATCTGCGTGGTCTACGTACGAGCTCCAAATCAGTAGAAACCCGCCAAGAAATACCCGCCAAGGCCGCCTAACGACAGGGTAACAACCGCCCAAACAGCGTCGTCGACAACGAACCCACAGCCCAACAACTCCCCCAACCTCTCCCCCACACAACTATCACCACACACACCCCCATTCACGCCCATCATGAAGCTCGTCAGGTACCTCCCCACGCATTGCCCACCTCCCCGCCACCCACCTCCCCCCTAATCAAAAAGGAGAAAACCAAGAAAAGGAAGCTAAGCTAACTCCTCCCCCCCCCAAACCAGGTTTCTCATGAAATGCCAAAACGAAACAGTCACCGTTGAGCTCAAGAACGGTACCCCATCCTCCTCCTTTGCTCCCCCCAAAGCTTCCGGCCCACAGAATTGACACAGGGGGCGGCGGGTGTTGTAGGCACCATCCTGCACGGCACGATCCTCTCGGTCGACGTGAAGATGAACACCTCGCTGCGCACCGTCAAGATGACGATCCGCAACCGCGACCCAATCTCGCTCGACACAATCAACATCCGCGGGTCCACAATCCGCTACTTCATCCTGCCCGACTCGCTCCCGCTCGACACGCTCCTCATCGACGACGCGCCGAAGCCGAAGAACAAGGCGCGGAAGGAGACCGATAAGGCTGCCGGCGGACGGGGCGGCGGCGGTGGTCGCGGCGGCGGCAGGGGCGGTGGCCCCCCGAGGGGTGGTAGAGGGGGTGGAAGGGGTGGTGGAAGGGGGAGGGGCGGTGGAAGGGGGTTTTGAATGTAATTATTCTTCTCTTCTGCTTTTGCTGCTTTCGGTTTTCTTGCTTTCTTTCTTTCGGGGGGTTTGGGGGGGGGGGGGGTGCCCGGCAATGGACAGTGTGTTTACGGTCTGGTAGGTAGTTCGAGGAATTGGTATATAATCGCTTTTGTTTTGCCGGTTTCTAGCTCCTGGGGGTGCCGAGAAGGATAAGTATCAAAAAAAAATTGGGGCGCGATAAACTACTTATACTAAACTTGCATATTCTTTATTTCTTTGCTCTTCCTTTTGCGCTGTACGAAATACAGAAAAATGAAACAACTTTTTCTTGACAACGCTTGAAATGACAGTGAAATCTGCTTTTTTTTACGAGCTACACCACACCACGCCCAACCAACCTACCATATTAACAAGAGCCCGAAAACCGCGCCAAATCAAATCCTCAATTAACAAACTAACATGTAGCTAGCTATCCCCCCCACCACCACCCCGCCTACTTGGTCGACTCCCACTGCGCCCCCACCCACTCCTCCACATACCCCACCCCCTGCGCATCCAGCACCGCAGGCACACACACACACGTCGCCACAATAATCGTCCCCCACTCCATCCCGTCCAGCCCCGCCTCGTCGCGCTCCAGCATACTGATCGCAAACGGCATCAGCTGGAACTCAAACACGCGCTGCTTGCGGCACGCGCTGCACGGCGGCACCCGCTTCATGCTGACTTCGCCGTCGGCCGCTAGCAGGAGCTTGCCTGTCTCGTCGTCCTTGGAGTACAGGAGGGGCGTGCCCTTCCGCTCGTACCTACACACATGTCAGCTCACACCGCACCACACCACACTAACCAAAAGGGGGGGGGGGGGAGAAGGCGGACCGTAGCACTTGCTCCGGGTTCTGCTCGACGCGGTCGGCAAACTTGCGGAACGTCTTGTCGACGCTGCTTTCGCCGCCCTCGGCGCTGTTGCTCATGGGCGTGTCGGCGTACTCGTCGGTGTCGACGATCTGGACGTTCTTGGGGAGCGCTGGCGTGCGCGTGTCCAGGTGCTCGTGCTCGGCGTCGAGGTGGTAGGACGGGTAGGTGTGCGGGAGGGGCGAGGGCCAGGGTTCGGGGGGCCCGTAGAATTGCGGCGTGGGTTGGGGCGCGGCGGGGGGGAGATTGTGGGAGAGCGCCGAGGCGAAGGTTTTGAGTGGTGAGGGTTTAGGGTTTGGAGCGGCGGGTGGGGGGCTGGGGGTGGCGGTGGCGGTGGAGAACGGGTTTGCGGTGGTGGTGGAGAAGGGGTTTGCGGGAGTGGAGGAGGTTGAGGAGGGGGGGGCGAACGGGTTTACGCCCCCCTGCGCGAACGGGTTTGCGGAGCCCGCTGCTGGCCCGCTGCCAAACAGGAAGGCACCGGTGTTGACGGGCTCCTTCTTCTTTTCCGCGGGCGGCGGCGGTGATGCGTCGGTCTTTTTCTTGTCGGTCTCGGCGGGTGCGGGTGTCCTTACGATGCGGACGCCGCGGAAGGCGCGGAGGGACCCTTTCTTGCGCCAGCAGGGCTTGTGGCGGCAGGCCCAGACGTAGAAGACGCGCTCGTGCGGCGTTTCGGGGATGTCGCCGTTGAGCTGCAGGAGCAGGGACATGAGCTTGTTGCAGTTTGAGCATTTGGCGAGGCGGGAGTCGGCGGGGGAGGCGGGGTGCATCCATTTCTGTGTGGTGGGGGGGGGGGTGGTTAGTTGTTGAGTTTAGAGAGAGAGAGGGAGGAGAGTGGGAGAGAGGGAGGAGAGTGGGAGAGAGGGAGAGAGGGGAGGGCGGGAAGGGGAGAGGTTACGGGTGTGCCGCCGAGCTGCGAGATGGGGTCCTCGGTGGGGTTCTCCTCGGCGTAGCCCAGCAGCACGGAGGTGCTGATGATGCTGTTTGCGTCGCCGACGTCGGAGTCTGTGTCGGACATGCTTGGAGTATTATATTATGGTGCGATATAGATGTCTGTCTGTAGAGTGCCCAATTCGAGATCCGTAGATAGCGGCTGGTGTTCACTGTCCATCCATCGACGTGCTGTCGTGCACTGTCTCGCAGGGTACTTGTGATGGCGGGGTGTGGCGGGGTGTGGCGGGGTGTGGCCGCACTCTTCTCTTCTCTCTTCTTTCTCATCCCGCAGATATCGAAAATCTTATCAGCGCCAAGCAATGAGGCTATCGGTCTGCCTGATCCCTGCACAGCTTCTCCAGTTAGCGGGCTTGGCAGATAGTGACCTACGCAAACCGTGCAACAGCAGCAGCGCAACGCGGGCAAGCTAACGAGACCTCCACCTCCCGCTGAGCTCTGGCACCACACACACACCTAGGCCCGCCAGCAGCTTCACCATCAATCACTCACCACCACCACCACCCCCCACCACAACCAAGCACAAAACAAAGACAAGCATACACAAAAAAAAAACACAGCAATGTCGGCTGCTGCCAACGCATCGTCGAAAGACCGCCAGTTCATTGCCGTCATCTGTGATGAGGTTTGTCCCCCCTCCCCTCTTGCAAGGGGGTGAGTGGTTAGTGGGCTAGGGCTAGGGCTGACTTGGGTGTTGCTGCTACTGCTAGGACTCGGTGACGGGCCTCCTCCTCGCGGGCGTCGGCCATGTCACGCCGGCGCCGAACGCGTCAAAGAACTTCCTGGTCGTGGATGCGAAGACGGGCAAGGACAAGATTGAGGCGGCGTTTGACGACTTTATCAATAGGAAGGATATCGGCATTTTGCTGATTAATCAGCATGTAAGTCCTTTCTCTCTCTCTCTCTCTGTGTGTGTGTGTGTGTGTGTGCGGGTGTGGTGGGATGATGGCTAATTGGGGGTGGTGCAGATTGCGGAGCAGATTAGATACAGGCTTGATACGTACACGGCGGCGTTCCCGGCGGTGCTGGAGATCCCGAGTAAGGACCATCCGTATGACCCGGAGAAGGACAGTGTGTTGAGGAGGGTCAGGAGGTTGTTTGGTGAATAGATGCGTGTGGGGGTGGGTGGACCCTTTGGGTCTTGTGGGATAGGGATGGGGATGGGGATGAGGGATGGAGGGGGGCTTTTGTGAATAGCAGTAGTTGCTTGGTAGTTACTTAGATAAATACCTTAAATACCATTATTGGCTAAAATCTGTTTGCGGTCTACGTCTAGTCTGGTGTGCTAGTCTTGAGCTTCAGTTATTGGGAGATGATTTTTAGTGTGATGTTTTCTTTTATTTAACCATTTGGGACACCGATAACTCCTAACCTAGGCCTATGTTTAGGCGATGCTATTGATTAATAGCTGCTATGGTAATAATAAAAGGACCATTCTAGTCCCACGCATAGCTTTTTTTTTTTTTAGGAAAAAAAGAGAAAAAGAAAGAAAAAGATTAAAATCCACTAAATGGACATACCCACAGCACCCATCCCAATTTCCGCCAGCACCCCATCAATACCCCTCCTCCTCCATCTCCCTCAACCTCTCTTTCTCCCTCTCCTCCCTCTCCCTCCTCTCCTTCTCCTCAAACTCATCATACGCCTCGCGACTATCCACCCACCTCTCCTGCACATCCCCCGCACTCATTCCCACGCCCCACCCGCCCCTCATGGCCATCGTCCACACATTATCGCCCGCGCCCTCCGCCTCGCCAAACACATACCCGCCAGCCCTATCAATACTCTGCAGCAAGCTCGTCATGCTCATCTTATCCTCGACGGCCAGCGTCTCGAACGACACCAGCCCGAAGCCGTCGACGACGTCGACGATCGCCCGGTTGAGCTTCGCGTACTTCTTGAGGCGCGGGTCGTCCTCCAGCAGCGGCAGCAGGTGCGACAGGTCCTGCACCTCCGTGTAGAAGTCCAGGTTGAACGCGAGCGGGCCGTACTGGTTCAGCAGGTCGATCTTGGAGAGGACGTTGATGTGCGGGAGGTCGAGCTGGAGCATGGAGCGCAGGCAGAGGAGCAGGACGGAGATGTATTTGGACGGGTCGGTGATGTAGTGGGCGTCGACGAGGTGGATCACGACTAGCTGGGGCGTGTTAGTGGGGCGTTGGGGAGGGGGGGAGGGGGGGAGGGAGGGGGGACGCACTCGGTACCCCATCTTCTCGAGGCGGAGGAAGATATTGCGCAAGCTCCCATGGTGCGTGAAGAGCTCCACCTGCCCCGGGCAATCGAAAATCACATAGTCCTCTACCACCCCACATCAGCTCCACCACCCCCACCCCCACCCCCCAGATAAAGGGGGCCAAAGAAACAACTCACGCCCCAGCCTCGAAAGGCCCTCCTCCAGCCACTCGATGTTCTGCTCCAGCTCCTCGAGCGCATACATGACGCCGCCGTTCGGGCCGAGGCCCTCCTCGTCCATGACCTCGTCGAGCGTGACGAGCTTGCGCACGTCGAGCGCGCACGGGTAGGTCGTGTGCTCGTTGGCTGGGTCAAGGTTCACGATGGAGCATTTGCGCCCGATGGCCGACATGAATTGGTGCATCCCGTTGCAGTAGGTGGATTTTCCGGAGCCCGGGGGCCCGATTACGAGCTGGGGGGGGGGGGGCGTTAGTTGGTTTCGGGGGGAGGGAGGGGAGGGGGAGGGGGAGGGGGTACTTGGGCGAATGGCATGGCTGTTTGCGGGCGGTAGGGAGAGGTGGCTGTTGGATAGAGATGTAGATATGGCTAGTGGGGTATTTTGGGAATAGGAATGGGAATGGTGGGATGGGTGTTATCGGTGTGTCTTACCCGGATTTGTAAGGCCTTATCGTCATGGGGTGTCACTCGGGCGAATGATCGGTTATGAGGGAAATTGGATGGTCGGTTTGTGGGGGGTCTGATGGCTCGAGTAACACTGGGGGGTTGCGTCTATTGTTTATTAAAATGAGTAATACTGTCTCTTTGGTAGTAATGTTGGTGTCCCATGTGGTTTATTGCTAATTGACTGCCTACTCCAAAATGCAGCGGCTTGGTACCAGCGCCTTTTGAGTAATTTTTTTTTGGCCATTACCCTATATATGCCCGTTATTTGCAACGATGTGTTAAATCGCAATACCCGTCCCGCGCCTCGAAATTGACTATAATCGTTTGCCCACAGTGGTGTGCTCTGATAGCCTCTGTTCCGGTGTTGGTGCCCTTCCCGGCGACGGCAAAATCAGCAGCTTGCGCATTTCTTGCCCTTTTCGACGCATATCAGCTGCTGTTACCCCGCAGTGTCATGATATAGTACTATCATTGCACTGTGCCTATATCAGCACCATCCTCTAGTTAAAACTCTAGCTACTCTTTCTTGGACGTACGGTGCGAGGTTCTCCGCCCTGGTTAGTGCAGCTATCATTGCAATTGACATCAACACCACACTCAAGTATAGATGCGGCCAATAAGAGATATCATTCACGTATCACTACAGCTGCAGCTCTTCATAGTAAAACTACTCCATGATTAGCACCTCTCAAGGGATGTACCCTGCTCTTGGTCAATCGTGCGGTTTGTATTCGGATAAAAATGACAACCGATCTTCGTGCTGGAGGCCACCATTCGGTATATCGATTGAAAGATATGTCAAACAGTCGTTGGCGAGTCTCAATCCGTATCTTAGGGTCGCCTGGCGCCCCCTATACGATACTACTGGAGTGTGAAGTGTGCTAACCTCTTGTAGCCGGATAGTGTCGCTATTTTCTTCAATCGTCACCAAACCACGACAAGCGTCGAGTAAATAGTTATAGTTATCTGATAGGTTCAAAAGGCCAATCTCGTATTCATTTGACTTGATGAAGACTGCCCAGAAATTAAGATGGTGGGAGGATGGAGGTACGCGCATCACGCTCAACCACTCGCTACATACATCCTCCTGACACTCCAGTCACTCATAAGACCGTCGGGAATGTTCATACCACCTAGCGCTATAGCCTAATGGTTATGGTGTCGCCCAGAGGGGCCGAGGTCATTCGTTCGAATCACCTCCCAGGCTTGGTTGAAAGACTGTGTGACTGGGTTGAAGGAGCAGAGCGGGATGCCTCTCCTTTTGCTGCTCTGAGACTCAGAGGGTTGGTCGCGGCTAGGTGAATGTATTACATTTATTTTGCTGTTCTGTTCTACACTCTGCTGATTAGTGTCCGTTGCACCTTGACGAGCCGGGAAGTATCAGTGTTTCTAGGTTTACATCTTGAGCGCTGCTACGATCTCCCTTGTGGTTGTTTGTTGGCAATTGTACTCGATAGTGGAAGTGTCAGGCTATGGGGTGTCAAAGAGTTCCTGACGCTCTATTATCAACATAACTCCTCCCGTGGGAGTTGAGTGGGTAACTTTAGCAATTATATGTTGGGCGATTGAGCGGGGTGGATATCTATGCATGTAGATCGATGTAGCACAGTCCCTTCCGGCTTCTACTACAACCCAAGATCTGAACGCGCCGCCTGCACCCTGATGTTCGCTTCCTGCGCCAAAATATTGATTCAGATCACTGTTAACTAAGTATCTCGTAACACGAAAACATACACAAAACTTCTAGATAAAGATAAGTATCTTCACTCGTGAGTGGTAAAAGATTGAAAGGAATTCCTGTGGAGATCAGGATTACTGGATCTAAAGCACATGTAGTATTAAGACGCTCCCTCTGTAGACTGATTACAGTGCAGATACTGCGATCAGTAGTGCTACCTATCGTCAATACATGTAGTATATCAATTTCTCCGTAAAATAGTGTTGGTCTATCCAAAGATCTATGCCTAAACCCTTCATAGAAGACATTTTTGCATCGAGTGATGACTCATGATGCGAACACAAAATTTTCTATTCCGTACATGTACTCCGCTCATTGCTGAGATATCATATCAGAAAAATCTCCAAAACAAAAGTCGTAAGATTCCATAATCATAATTACAACTTCATTTCTCATCACCATCCCACACCCTAACCTACTATCATGGGTATAAGCACGAAAAGGGAAAAAAGAAAAACCCTAATTATATAAAAGTCTCCCTAAACACCACTCCTGAACACACTTCCACCACCATTTCTAAACTGTATGGTTTCTCTCCTACTCATGACTACCAATGCTCTTCCAAGTGCGTTTTCACTGTATCCTCTGCCCGCGCACAGCTCTCTCTTCAATGTAGCCAAACTTGTACTCCATCCAATAGGCAACCTCCTTCTCAGTTCAGCCTCCACTTTCCCAACCTCTTCTAGCAACTCTGCACTTGTACCAGCACCCTGTCCAACCGCGTCCATTGTACTCGCCAAGAACAGTCTGATCGCCTCATCAACGTGCTCCTCCGTTGCGATGGGCTGCAATGACAGTTTTGCGAGTGCTTCGGTGATACGGATGATAGCCTCCAGCTGTCTCACAGTGATCGGGATAGAGGAGCGCTCGTTCGCATCGACTTCGACCTGGTGTACCTTCTTCCGGATTCCAACAAAGTGGGATGAAAGCTTTTCAGCAGCATCGGGGGAAAGACGGGGCGCACATCGTGTCTTGCAGTATGTGATATAGCGCTTCATACGTTCTATGCTAATGTCTGCTGCCGCATCTTCGGGGGCGACACCTGCAGGAGTACGGTTCATGTGCAATGACATTACGTGGCGCGCCATGGTTTCATCGCGAGCTGCATTGTGCTCGTCTTTAACAATGAAGATCATATCGAATCTGGAAAGAATTGTTGTCTGGAAATCAATGTTCTCGCCAGGTGACTTCATGTCATCGTAACGGCCAAAGATAGGGTTTGCAGCAGCAAGTACAGAGGTCCTCGCATTAAGGATAGTAGTGATACCGGCTTTTGCAATAGAGATAGTTTGCTGTTCCATTGCTTCGTGGATGGCGACTCGGTCTTCATCTCGCATCTTGTCGAATTCATCGATACATACGACACCACCATCAGCGAGCACCATGGCCCCCCCTTCAAGGTAGAATTCACGGGATTGGGAGTCACGCTGGACAGATGCTGTGAGACCGGCGGCGGATGAACCCTTTCCAGAGGTATAGATGGCGATGGGAGCAACCTTCTCAACGAATTTGAGAAGTTGAGATTTGGCAGTTCCGGGGTCACCAAGGAGGAGGACGTTGATGTCACCACGAAGCTTCATGCCATCGGGAAGAATCTTCTTAGAGCCACCGAAAAGGAGAAGGGCAATTGATTTTTTGATATCTTGGAAGCCGAAAATGGATGGTGCGATACTCCGGGAGAATTTCTCATATAGCTGAGGGTCACGGGACATTTCAAGAAATTCCTGTTCCTCGGCTTCAGAAAATGTCATTCCGCCTTTGGAAGAGTGATCAACACTCGACTGTATACCGGTAAGGCGGATATAAGGGTTTCGAATTGCAACGGCACTCCCGGGGCCCTTTGCACCCTTAGATTGATAGATACTGAAAACACCCATCACCGTGCAACGGGAACCAGGGACTACCTTGTTTGTAAGGTAGCGATCGGCGGATACAAGAATATGACGGGGAAGTTCACCCACTGGAACCATATCCGGCGCTTCTTGAAGTTTGAGGACTTGCTGGTCGATAAATGTGCACTTTTCGTGGACTACAAAGTATGGATCCATCGGACAGCGCTCGCCTTCATCAGCAGGGTTTGAGGGGCGATCGCAGGTACGAGGTAGAGAGACACCAGCGAAACCGCCAGCAACTGGGATAGTTTTCGAAGAGCGGCAGTTGCGACACATTATTGACATAAGTGTGACTTTTGAAGATAGAGTAGAGGCGCCAATGACAATTCCGGGGATGCGGACAAGCTTGGAAATGTATGAGGCATTGAGATCTCGAATTGAAATGAGGTTTGCGGACGAATGAAGAATAAGTTGGCATTCGGGGAAACTACGGGAATTATCGGCGCCGGGGAAGAACATGCGGCGGGCGCAGTCTTTGATGGCCATTTCGAACTGGAGAGCATTAGTGATTCGGTAAAGATAAGAAGATCTTAGCTAAGGTGGGAGAGCCTACAATGGGGATAATGTCTGCTGGCTCGTTGGAAAGCTTGTGAGCGAGCTCTTCATTGAAAGAAATTAGATGGCCAATGTCGACATCGAGCATGTATAGCTTCACGAGAATGTTTGTTCGTAAGGCATCTCTTGTAAACACATTCTGTGTCAGCAACTTGAGTCGACAATAAGCGGAACGTCTTGTAACGCAATTGAACTTCGATGCTCACCGGTATATAAATGTGTTGTCAAGGCGAAACTCTAGAATAAATGACCTGAAGGCCTTTTGGATTTCACCTGGCTGATCATCGGGTTGGCTGTCATCTTTGGGTAGACCAGTGTCGATTGTGAACACAGAAGCACGATCCATGGCGACCAAACAGCCTTAGAAAGAACTCTTCCTTTATCAAAGTTTGACGACCAAAATTGTTACTTGTGAAAAGGTGTATCGGTGGTTGTAGATAGAGAACAAGTGTCTTGGTTGAGGGTGGAGGGGGGACAAAGCGATTGACCAGGGGTAGAGAAAGAAGCAGTTGTCGTTTCTTTGGTAGCTAAAATCTCTGGGGTGGGAGGTTTCGCGTTTGGACGCGTTCCAATTACTGTCCCGAAAGGGTCCAGCCTACGCACCGCCATAGTCTCTCCTTACGTAATCAAGAGCCTTGGCCGGACTGGGAACTGTGGCAGCGTGGCTTAAAAGGCTTAGCGCTCAGGATTTCCGTTAGCGCTCAGGATTTCCGTTAGCGCACAAGGATATGTAGCTTCGTTCACATCTCACTCGCAGCTTCAGCACTCAGCCTCTAAATATCCGCTAGGTAGGGTCCGTTCGTTGTAGGAGGTGTACTCTAAGTTGACTACACCTCTCCCGACCTCCCCTCCAAATATAATACCATCCCTCAATATATATCCTGTCACTCATTATCTTTAACCAAACCTCCCCCCACCCTCCAGATATAATATCTCCCAGCGTTTTCTTTATCCCATAAACGCCACGATGGCCTCCCCGTCTCCTTCCCGTGGTCGACCTTCTTTGGACTCGGTCGGACTTCTCTCGCCGATTCTCTCGCCATCCGCTTCAATGACGGACCTTTCTGCAGCCTTTGGTCCTCCTCGCTCAGCTCGCTCTCCCAGGGATCGCCGCGGCTCCACAGCAAGCTCCATAATCTCCCTTGGCTCGACCATAGGTACTGTAGTCGACTGGCGGGCCACAAAGGACTATCTCGGGGGTGGTGCCAACAGCTCATGTATGTGTCAAGCTGCTTCTCCTCTTCTTCCATGCGTAAATCCCGTGTTAGCTGAATGATTCCTCCCAGCGATTGCCGCTCTTCTTGACCACCCCGTTGCCCGTACGAGTAGCTCCGTTCGACCAAGACCTGGAGACATACCTCCGGTTACACTTGCCTCTATTCCAAAGGTAAAGCCGAGTGAATTCACGCCTTACTTAGCTATATCGACAGAGTACGAAAAATACCGGCGTGCGAAAGATCTGGGGCTGGAGGAGCATATTCGACTGAGCAGTGTTCCACAGCGACAACTGTCTGGGGATTCTGGGATATCACCGGCTCCAAGTGTTGTAGAGTCTGCGGCAGGGCTTGGAGAAGGTACGGGATCAAAGGATGCTTCGCCGAACGGATCCCCAAAGAAGCCGGGGAGGACTAGGAGGGCATCGCTAGCAGTGACACCATTGTCTACAGTTCCGCCGGTCTATTTTGAAGAAAACTTCCATCTCGAAAACCCACGGACATTTGATGTGGTTAGTGAGCGCTCCGATGTAGTCCGTCCTACCGCCTCCACAGAAAGTCAAGCAGAGTCTTCGGCCGCTTCCACTTCTTCTTTGTCTCAGCGTAGGGCCCTCGCTACAAATGCAATCCTACAAGAGAAGCTATCCTGGTACATGGACACTGTTGAAGTCCACCTTATATCCTCAATTTCTACTGCCTCATCCTCTTTCTTCGCCGCCCTCGGCGATCTCAGAGAACTCCACAGTGAGGCTACAGCATCTGTTCACAAGATTCAAGGTCTCCGGAAACAACTAGTTCAGCTCGATGAAGAACAAGCTGTTAAAGGTTTAGAAATTATCCGGCTGCGACGACGTCGTGATAATATAGCTCGCCTTGAACGCGCCGCAAAACAAATGGAACGGGTACTTGCATCCTGCCAGGGGGTCGAGCGTTCCCTTGAACAGTCGGAAATAGAAGCTGCACTTGCAGGGGTCGTCGAGACTGAGCGCCTCATCTCCGGTGAAGGTGAAGCGGATGCAATTGACCTTCGCCCCGTTAAATCTCTTGAGGCGGTTAATTCGGACCTCCACCATCTCCGCTGGCGTATCGGAAAGGCTTTTGAAGCCCGATTTGTTGAATCTCTCCTCTCCGATATACGGAAGCACGTTGATCGTGTACCTTCTGCTGAAACTCTCCGCCGTTTCGCGCAATCCTTTCAGCGCGATCAGTACCAGCGGTTTGTATCAGCCAAACAACAAAACAATCTTCAGCCCCCACCACGTTCTTCGTCGCTACCTCCCGAATACACACAGCTCTCTGATAATCTCCGTGCATTGTTAATGCGACACCTCAATGGATTGCAGCGTGCTAAGCATGTCAATGAAGCTGTACAAGCGTATCGCGACTCCGTTATAAAAGAAGCAAAGTCACTCATACGGCGTAACATGCCCAGCGATGATGACAATGAGTCTATAATGTCCTCAATGACCAATTCTCGCTCAGGGGGCGTTCGGAGCTCGCAAGATAAATCTATGCTCCTTGCGCGCTCTTTACGAAGTCTTGGCCCAGCGGATGCAGAGGATCTGTTAGTAAGAATCTACACTGGAGTGTCTGAGTTGATACGCAGACTTGGAACACAGCAGAAGATGTTACTGGATGTGACAATGCGAATGGGGGAGACAGGAGTTGGGGGCATGTTGAGTCCTCGATTAGAGCAAAATGGATTTGGGGCTGTCACAAATGGTGACTCGAGGGCTACCTCGCCCGGTTTAGACCGTAGCAACGGCTTCCCACATCATCCTGGCCCCGTGGGTGGGGATGCAATCAATATGGATATTTCCGATCTCATCTCCTCCGCTGTGGAAATCGCGCAGTCACAAATCGTCAAGATCGTAAAAGTCCGAACTGAGCAAGTGACATCCTACTCACCCGAATGGTTCCTGCGATATTTTATGCTCAATAGACTATTTACGCAGGAGTGTGAGGCTGTGTCAGTCAGGGTTGGGAGCGGATTGCAGAATGCAGTGAGTAACCAGATTAGGGAATTTCTTGAGAAATGGCAGAAAGAAAGGATTCGGACTTTGGCAGAAGGGCTTGAAAAGGATCGATGGGCGCCAAAAGAATGGGATGAATCCCGACAAGCGGGTGTGAATCGGATTTGTGAGAGCGCGACCAGGGACCCAGAAGAGTGGGTAAAGAGCGGGAGGATTTGGGAATTGCGGGAAGAGGAGAATACCCCAACTGCTCCTATAACAAATGGGAATGGTCCCTCAATCACAAATGGTCCCTCAATCACAAATGGCCCCTCGACCACAAACGGTACTCCCGTTGTGCCTGTGGAAAACGGTAATCCGCAAACAAATGGCGAGCCCCCAAAGAAGGCATACGCAACGGTTGATGAATCGTCTTTCATCCTTCCAGAGTCCGGTCTTATGGTATTAAGAGAGCTTGAAATGTACTTGAGGCTAGTAGTAGTGATGCCTGGTATGGCGGCCGAGATTGCACAAAACCTACTGAACTTTCTAAAAGTTCATAATAGCCGCACCTATCAATTGATCCTTGGGGCAGGGGCAACAAAGACAGCGGGGCTCAAGAGTATCACCACGAAACATCTAGCAATGGCAAGCCAAGGGTTGAGCGTTGTAGTTGCGCTGATTCCATATATAAGAGAATGTGTCCGAAGACGAGCAGGCACTAACGCTGGCGGGGTGTTAGCTGATTTTGATAAAGTAAAACGGGTATGTACTCTATCTTCATCATAGTTTATCATCCGCTCACTAAACCCATCAGACATATCAACAATACCAGACTGAGATACACTCCAAACTCACCTCTATCATGTCAGATCGCGCTAGGGTGCATGTTAATAATTTGATCAAAATGGACTGGGAGCGTGACTGGATAGACCAGGGAGGAGACCCAGAAAAATACTACATGGATACGTTGTGCCGCGAGACAACAGTACTACATAAGGTATTGAGCAAACATTTGCCGAATGAGACTCTATTGAGTATCATGGAGCCAGTGTTTCAAGATTACAAGTGGCGACTACGAGAGGGGTGGGCAGAGGTTGTGGTCAGGAGCGAGGCGGGCAAGCAGAGGTATGAGCTTCCTCTTCTAATATGCGTTGTAAATACTAACTTTCCGTAGGATTTTGAGGGATGCGCAGACTTTCAATGATCGCTTGAGCAAGTTGGATGGGTTCGGGGATTCTGGAGGAGCGCTACTGGAGGCCGCAAGAGGGAAGGTAGTGAGGCCAAATGGTTTGACTAGCAGAAGTGGGACACCGATATTGAGATAAGGACATTGCAGCAAGGTTAATTATTTCCGGGCTCCCTTTTTTCTCTTTTCTTTTTCTCTCTATTCTCGGGGTTCTTTTTTGACATACGAATTGATGTGGTCGTTGTGTGGGTTGGCCGGTTGGTTGTAATTTGTTGGGTTTGCTTGCTTGGTGTGTAATTGTTTATTTTTTCTTATCCTTTTCTCTTGCGCGGTTTGCATGTTTGGGGAATATTCTTTTTGAGGCCGGTTGGTTTGGCGAGCTGTTTACCTTGAATTAACTGTAGGGGGTGTAATAAGGGTTAGGGATCCAAAAGTAATTACTTTTTTCTGTGGATGTTTATATTAGAGGAGTTTCCTTTTGTTCAGTTTTGGAATAGGGTGTAGAGTTTTAATATATATAGGGACTGTGATTGAAGCGTCTGGGATTTCGCTTCATAGTCCAGCACCGAGGTGCGAATCGATAATGCGAGTGATATTTTGTGCTTCAAGCCTAGTTGGGGCAATGGCAGGAAACCAGAACTTAGGACGCACCACCTTTTTTGCACATAGGTGACAATTCGTCCTAATAGGCACACTACCCGCGTACCTCATAAAGGCATTTTATGTGCAAGGGTTCAATAGTTGGATGCCTGATAGGATGCCTGAATGTAAGAAAATGACATATAAACCTTTGATCCTGCTATTAAGTCTATGCCGTTCTCCTCTTCCTTTCTTTCTTTTCCTCATTACCTATCTGCTTGCGATTGCTGCCTGTTCATTGTGCCTCTTTGCCTTTTCAATTTTATTGGTGGTAGTACGGCTAAGCTAACGACACATATATTTATAGCTAGCTGGTTATACCTTTTGTTTATGGGAACTTGGGGGGCGGAGGATTGAAGATATTCTGGCTAGCTAGCTATCGGTGTTCATTGTTACTCCAATATACACGATCACGTCGATCAATACATTCCGAGGTCTCCTGCTGTGTGGGAGATGGAGGAACGACTTCAACCCATGCATTCCCCATCCCGAAAGTTCCACAAATTCCGGGATGAACCTCGATTACTTATGGTCGGAGCCTGAACCAACCAAAAAAGAAGAAAAGAAAAGTTTGTACTTCAATGCATCCCCGATCCTGCTATTCTATCGGTACATGTCTTCTGATATTGATGCTAATAATATGGTACCATATGCAGAAAAAAATGAACAGTTTGGATACTTTATATCTTTCTTGCACAACCGCGTTGAGCTGGAATTATTAGCTAAGTAGCGATTTCATGGCAAGGGCTTTTAAGGATAGCTAGTAAGTTCTCACTATTCCTTTTCCTTTTGAGCTTTTTTTATTTGGAACGGCCCGAGCAGATAGTGTTAGAGCATGCGTGGATAAGGTATATAGATGTGAATAGTCGAATGGAAGTTCTTTAAATACTTGTTTCTTTTATGGACTCAGACGTGATTTCTTTAGTCAATCGAGGATTCCTCCCTTCTTTCTATAATCTCGGCGTGATCGTTCCGATCTATTCTGGATATAGTACTCGATACTAGCTAGAAGTTCTATTTAGAAGTAAGATCCTGTTTAAAAGCGATGTACATATCCAGCAAGGCCGTTGATCCCTTTACAGATAGGTGAAATAGAGACGAGGGGTGTACTACTACATATAATTATACAGAGACACATGATAATTAAGCCTGTTTTCTATCGCTCAGTATAAAATACTTAATCTAAGACCCTATCCCCATGCCAATGTTCACCGAACTCCATCCTCCCGCTACTCTCTTTCCTACTCTACTTTATATATGGAGGTTTGTGGCGCGAGGAGTAAGTTTCCGTACTCCCTTCTCAATCTTCCATAGACTCTCGCCCACTCTCTAAACCAGTCAATCAAGCAATCCTCCATTTCCTGTACCTAGTTCAGTATCTCCATAGGCGAGTGAGAATCCATGACTACAAACGTTTCCGTCCTCAACAAGACAAATATTGATAGACGAGGCGTCCCAGTTCAATAGTACACATACCGTCATAATACAAAAACTTCACTCTCAAAGTTTGTTCGTTCCCTGTCTTGATGCTTAAAATTTAGATACCGAGATGTATGTTATAGTGATTAACACATTTACAAAGAGATAAATAAAGCCTAGATATCCAGAAATCTCTTCCCGATTACTCTCAGGTCTTTTGCTTTTCATTCTTCTCCCTGTCATGGGGATCGCGTGAATCTCCTGTACTTGTTTTTTTGCTTCTTTCCCCTCTTTATTATCTTTGTGCATATGGGGAGGGAGAGAAGTTATACATACGTGATACGGACTTTTGCAAGTGTCACTTATGAATCCACAACAAAAAGCGGCCATCTTATATGATAATCTACTAGACATGCAGGTACGGACACCGCATATTGTATAACACGAGGATAATGGCGCATCTAAATGACTGCACGCTGTAAAAACGTCTCTACCAGAAGATAGTATACTTCAAAGACAACACTCATAGAGAGGGCTCCAAAGTATCTTCCATCAACCCTTGTCCATCACGTCACCGCTCACCTCTCCTGCCGAACCTGCAAACAGATACAGTATAGCGCAAACCTTATTCTCTATCAAAACGTAACACTCGAACTTACTGCTAAACCGAATATGTCTACCAACGAAGACTCTTCTCTCATCCTCAAAAACCACCTGTCCAGGATCGACGAGCTAAAAACTCGAATCAAAACGACCCAGGAACTCTATGCAGACCTTGAAGGCCGGTATAAAGACCTAAATCAAAAGATCTTCAGAACCGGCGCTCGAGGCCACGCTTTAAAAGCACTCCCACAGTTCTATAGGATCGTCGTCACTGACGAGAAGAAATGGGAGAAGCTAATGTACGAGAAGGCTGAAGTCGCAGGAGGCCTGGAGGACCTGGAAGAGGTCCTGAGTGTCTTACAGGCAAAGATGGATGAGCTACTAGTGTCCTTACCAGCACGGTAAGAACCTACTCTCATGATTCGCCGGAATCCGGTATAGCTATTGAGTGGATCGTATTTAGATAGTTCGGTAGCTAATAGATTCTGGTGCTTTGCAGAAAAGATATGCTCATTCATATGCCGAAAAAGGTGTCGCTCCTTGACATCAGAAAATCGGGGATTGGTGGGTGATTGGGTCAACGGTAAGTTCGTATTCCTAGAGCCAGCCTTATTAAACAATCTAGACACCTAACTAAAACAATCTCCAGTTAATAACTGCTAACGAACCGCCCTCATAAAATTTCGCTGGGGTGAGATTAGTCTTCTAAAGCTGTAATGACCATGTATTCATATCAAAACAGCAATAAAGGTGCTTATTGAGATATAGCGAAGCCCCTAATAGCAATTTATAATCCCACCTTTTGCGCCAGGGTCGACAAAGCCTGCCCAGGAACTCTGACTACTATTTAGCCAAAGAGTTATCTTTTTCGTACTATGTATGTAGTTAGCTGGGTTGTAAAATAATATGCTGGAGTATACTCTCGGCTTTCCAATTTGGTGATTTAAACAATAATAGCTATAGGTGGTTGATCATGATTCTCTTAATCGTCCCTACATCAAGTAGGCGGTGAGGTGAGACTTCTAGAATTTCAATTTTATTTAGTCTTACTTACCCAACGAAACTCCAGCCCTCTAGTTGTGTTCGTTCCCAGATCCGTACCTGCAGAAGGTGCAACGAAATGTCTAGTGACAAATCCACCCATTCCCTCAGGTTTAGCTTGCTGTGTTGGAAGCTCCAAGCTCAAATTTAATTCATACCGGGACTAGCTTTTATTACAGATGGTACATGTATTCAAATCAGATTTTACCATATATACAGTACGCAAGTTAGTAGCTACATATATACGTGTTCATATATATGTGTACAAACGTTAGCGTAACGTTGACCTGTACACTACGCTCTTATAGAGACATGTTTAAAAACACATGGGTACACATATATATATCTTTGATTTAGTATGTACGTAGGGACATATGTCACCAACTCAGTATTAAGACGTGGTCACAATCGAGTTCACGACGTGGCCCGTTTAGACATAATTCTCTGCCTATAAATTGAACCTAAACCTCTATTTAATCAACCATCATGCTCTCCTCTCGTCTTTATCGATTGGCTCCAATCGTTGGGACAGTACTATGGATCTAGATCTATGCCATCGCTGCATTGTCACTGCTTTCTCTGCTTCCATATCTTGCCTGCTGCCTCAAATTATTTTTATTATTTCTGTTTTCTTGCTTCTGTTCGATCCCAATGGCTGACAAGATCTCTTCGTATAGCTTCATATTCGGAAAATCGTAAATACCGGAATCATCGGAGAGTTGAGAGACTTCGATGGTTTGACGTGAATCGAGTTTGACAAGGATCGGTTATTGGGAGGTTCTTGATTGCCAGTAAAACTCACAGACAACCCCTCTTGGGGAAGGGGGAATGACACCCCGCTACGCGCAGCATAAGATCATATCCCAAAAGTTGAGTTCTCTCCTTGTCTTCCAATAGCTTTGTTTCTAATGTGTTGGACTTGCAGACAATTGAAAGTATGGATGCACACGATCGTGGCGACGTCGACTGGATTGGTGAGAGCGACTCGATGGCCCATTGTGGTGCAGCGAGATGAGTACAGTTGAAGTTCTGTTGAAAGTAGGTTTGAAATTTTCTTATCTCCTTTTTTTTATTTGAGGTGGCAGGCAATTTTGTTTGTATTTAGTTATATTGGATCAAATTTGAGAACTTCATTTTTATAATATACTGTTCTACGTATACGACCTGCGATTGTGCAATTGGTACTACTGTTCAGATACATTTTGGCCTAGTCTATCCAGTGAATTATCCAATTAAGGGACTTCGTGTAGAAGATACAGTCCCATGATCACTTTGTTGTGAAAAAATCTTTCTAGAAAATCGTTCCTATACTTTTAGGTACAGCTGTACAGGCAAACCCCGCTGGTGCTGGCTAGGACTTGAACCGACGGTTCCAGTAGGTTTACCAGTTCTCACAACCGTTGTAACGAAAAAAAAAACCGCGCGCTACATATTAATATGTTTCCCTATTAACTACATGTATATGTAGTACCCCTCCCGCTCTCCAACTTTCTACCAAAATCGATATGTGAACCTAGCCGACCTACATCTATACAATTAAATAGACTTAGTACATGTACAAGGACTAATCATCAAACTTAACCTTTATGCCTCGAGTGTACATACACTCAAGAAATTAATACCACAGGCCGGTGATTCTAGATATTTTTTTGTACTGTATTAATCCTCCCCTGTAGATAGCTTCTTTTTATATACGAACAACGTTTTTGATCAAACTAATAAAGTAAAATACATATAAAAATTAGCATTAGTTTGGCTGACTCAACCCATAAGTACCTAGTACCTCCAAACAGCAGTGAAAGGTACAAATATATGTACCCATCGTTGGTCAACACTATTATACTTCATACCTCTGTGTCAGATCGTCCTGTGCCTAAGGTACAAATATAGATGTCGCGTTTAAATAGATTCTCTCTGTATAGAAGTAATTGTGGTGAAGATGGCAACATGCACTTCCTAGGATCTGGGACGCAACTTGCGCGGCTAATCCACTAGTACCGAGTGACTGCGTATGATGGGTACATTCATGAATCATCACTCGACCAGGATATGCGGTGGGTTAAGTAGCTCCTGGGTCGGGTTAGATATGCATGTTGAGCCTTGACACATAGTAAGAAGATAGACAGGAAATTCTTGAAAAAAAACTCTATAAACTTCTCTAACGGGAATAACATCGCGGGGAGTGGGTGAAGAACAAATACAGACGTCTATGTAGCTAATTTGAAGAACTGGGACTGGCTCCTGAACCTATACCATCCGAGAATAAGGGGAGCTTGATCAATTGGGTTGAACTCAAAGCTCCACTCATGCTAGCCACTGTGCGAAAAGTGTTAACTGTTCAATATAGCACCTTCACTCGCTGAATGAAGTGATTAATTTCGACTCCAGAAACCAGACAACGGTGCCGGTGGTAACTGCCAGAATATATCAATTCGAGAATCAAATACACGCGAAAACCGCTTTACTAGGTCTAATTATAGTAAACACTACACCCTTCACGCCCAATGATTACCAAAATAACTAACCGAGTCCAAATAATAGACGATATCACGATGACCTCATTACAGGATCTCAATCCCGTAAGGCAATGTGTCCCAAACTCACTCCCCACCTCCCACATATACCTTTCTCATCAAGAACGCCATTGAACCTTCATCTCCACCAAAAAAACAAAATGGCCCTCCTCCGCCGCCTCTTCAAGCCGAAAAAGCCCCAGACCTCCCCCGAGCTCTCCTCCCCAGAGGAATCCAAATCTGCGGCCGTGGATGCCAAACCCCCACCAGCCGAGAAACCAGCCGAGAAGCCAGCCGAAAAACCAGTCGAAAAACTAAACCAAACAGAAGAGAACCCACTAAAATATACCTTCCCCGCCCCCTGGGTCCACAAAGGGGCCGGGGGAGACCAAGAGACCGCCGTCGTCCTCCACACCCCGCAGGCAGCAGAACCCCCAGCCTGCACCAAGTGCGGCGAGGCCTACAACCCGCAGTACGCTGTAGGGCTCTCCGCATTTTTAGATGTCAGTAAAATGCTGCTGTCAATGCTGTGCGTGGTCCTCGGCGTGGTCGTGATGGTGCTGATGTCGGCGACATGGGTGCTGACACGGGCGTCGACGCTTCTCGAGGGCGTGCATGCCGGGCGGGAGGAGAAGGAGGAGAAGAAGAAGGAGAAGGAGGAGGAGAAAGCGCTCATTGGTGTTGAGAATGAGGAGGGCGGGAGTGAGGTGGTGTTACTTCGCCGCGATAGTCAGGGAGAGCTGTATGAGCTGGATAATTATGGTGCTCACCAGCCGGAGGAGGGGTATGAGTTTGTGCCGGAGATTCGGCCGGTGATTGTGTTTAGGGAGGAGAGGTTGGCGTTTGCGGCGGCGAGGAGGGCGTGGGTAGGGGGTAGGGGGAGGGGGAGGGGGAGGGCGGCGAGTTGTGATAGGTGATGGTGTAGGTGGTGGTGTAGGGTAGCGCTGTGGGTTGCAATTGAATAGAGTATGAGCTTGCAATGGCAGGACTGGCTTGGGTGAATTAGATTCGATTTATTAACTAAGTGTCTGTTATTGTCAATTGCTATGAAACCGACGCCTAAAATCTAATGCTATGAAAATAATGCCTATGAAACTAATGCCTGAAAGCCAATGCCTAAAAAAAAAAAAACCAATTGAACACTGAAACTCCTTCCCATGCATCCAAAATGCTACATAACTACATCATGGGTATCAAACTCCCCGAAATAAACCAAAATAAAACAAACTCCCTACACCAACATCCCCGAATGTTCCACAGCAGCCATAATAGCAGCAGATCCACTCGTACCATCCAGTATTTCAACAATCCTATGCAGCCCCCTCAGCACCGCAATATCCCTCGCCGTATACCCATCATTCGAGCGCAGACTCGTATCCGCCCCGCTCTTCAGCAGCAGCTCCAGCAGCGCCGCCGAGTTCCTATTAAACCCCGCCAAGTGTCCCTGATGCATCATACAGTGCAGCGCCGTCCTCCCGTCCAGATTGCGCATATTCACGTCGGCGCCCCTCTGCAGCAAGAACCTGACCATCCCCGGCGACGCCACATACGCCGCAATGTAGAGCACCGTGTGGCCGCCCGCGTCGCGGGTATCGACCCTGGCGCCGTGCTCGACGAGCATCTGCGCGGTCTGCATGTGGCCGTGGCGGATTGCGACGTGCAGCGCGTCGCGCCCGCTGACGGTGCGGTAGTTGACGTCGGCGCCGAGGTCGACGAGGAGCTTGGGGACGGAGAAGGAGACGCGCGGGGAGATGGCGTGGTGCAGCGGCGGCTGGCCGAGGAGGGCGTCGGGCGTGTTGATGCCGAAGTGTTTGTGCAGGACGAGAAGCTTGATGAGCGCTTTGTGGCCGCGCGAGGAGGCCCAGTGGAGGGCGCTGAGGCCCGAGTAGGGTTGGGTTGCACGGTGGTGGAGGTGTGGGGTTAGGAGGGAGGCGAGGCGGCGGGAGGTGAGGAGGAAGGAAGCGGCGTCTTTGGCGAACCGGAGCTTTTCGGCGATGATGAGGAGGAGCTCGTTGGGGAGGGCGAGGAGGGGCATTTTGGTGGTGGTGGAGGTAATTGTGGTGGTGAGGAGGTGGGGTAGCTGGAGAGGAGCTGGTTATAGCTGGTTGATAGGTATCGAGAGCTCGGGATAGAGCTCGGAGCTGCGAGATAACGATATGCTAATTATAGATATTAACCGGGGGTGCCGGGAACTCTTCAATTCAGTACTGCGATAAACAAAATGGATATGGAGAAACTCGGGGGATTGAGAGGTTGTAGAGAGCTTCATATACTAGCCATGGGGGGGGGGGGAAGGGGAAGGCAGCAAGATCAAGATATCCAGGCTGTGTTTCCTCCAGTCACGCATGGTGTCACGAGGCTGCCAGCTCGATCACTCAGACACGAGACTATCGTAAGAGTTACTCTGGCACCGAGCACCAATGGGCAGGGCAGGGTAACCCGATGCCTCACCAGAGCACAGCTGCAGCACGATACAGACAGCAGACAGACAGACATCTTGGCCCCCTGTCTCATGGAGTGATCATGACAGACGGATAGACCGTACCTGAATAGTGATGGGACAGCCAGTAATCCACGCATCGATCCAACGCCTCGCGATGTTGGTATGTACAACCCCGTGGAAAAGATGTCTCACATCACTCGTCTACCCGGGTACCTCCCCAGCCCAGCTGTTTCCAACGGCCCTGGTGCAAAACAGCCAAACACCTCCCCAACGCGTCCGCCGAAGCTCTCTCAACGGCACCGAGAGAGGCCTTATCAGCGTCAGACTATAGCCTCGAGTGATAATCCATGAGCGGGATTAACAAACACCCGGTTACCCTGCGCTGGGACTATCCCTACCGATGCAGGCCAATCAGAGTGTGAGGCTGATACGAGAACGAGCCAATCGAATCCGCGCAGGCTGTAGAGTACGACTTATACGAGTACGGACGGTATGGATTGATCCGGGGGGTGACTACAGCGGCAGCATGGTCTCTACTATTCTGGAAAACCGAGGCAAATCCCTGCTGCCTGCCCCACGATCATCAATCACGATTCGATTTACTAAGAACAGTCAAAAAAAGTAAAAAGCAGGAAAATATATACATATATATTATGAAAACGCGCAGCTGAGGCTAGAGAATTAGGTAGGCGGTGACGTGTTAAAAGTTCCAGCCCCATTCTAATCTCCTGAAAGAGGCAAAAGGGAGTAAAATGTTACGGGACCGCTTCCGCCGCTCAGGCCAGGGGGGGGGGTGGTTTTCGAGAAGGGAGACACAAGAAAGAAAAATGTAGTCTCGTGTAGGTGTGTGTGTTAGTTGTTAGGATCGTTGTTTTGGTTTTGGACTCAAGGTTGATTGGTTGGTTGGTTGATTTCGGCGGCAGATGTGGAAATGAGCCAGAAGATTGATTGACACGGCCAGAATAGTAATGATGCCGAGAGAGGGAGGAGGTCTCTTGACTTGCTTGCGCTCGCTAGAGTATCTACATAGAGTAGTTAGTTGCTCTACATATTCTACGGACAGACATTGTCACGTCACGTCACGTCACGTCACTTTGTTGGTTGGGTCATGGACTTCACCTCTGGATCTTGTCTTGTCTTTCGTTTATGGCACTGGATCGAGGTCTCTAAAGGCACAACCGCTGTTTTATAGCGATACACACGTGTTCGCGCAAGATACATGATCGAGGTCGAGAGGAGATGATTACCATCAGCCAGCTCGGGGTTATGCCTGTTACTATTTGCACTTTAACGAGATTATGGTTTTCACTTCCTTGGACGCCCATACCATACCACCAACCTTAGGCTCTCGACATGTCTTAGCACCCAGACCAGACGTTGAAAGAAAGTTGATAATGCCAAGAAAATATACCACCGTCCCTACGGCAGGGAAGACAGACCGGTAACGGCTGAATCGGGCGGAGAGAAATCGTTATTTAACAGTAGGGTTGTAGGGAAACCTGGATTTCGTTTTTCTTGGGTAACGGTAGGTATGTATATGGGAGAATAATATCGGTTGTTTCAAATAAAACCCCTCGGGATGTGCCGTTCGGCATCGGGGTAAGTGACACTCGAATTTCTGTTTCTGGTGGTTACATCTACATACCGGTCAACCTACAGTTCACTGCTATTTCTGACCAACAGCCTTTCTTTAGACAAACGAGGAGGGCAAGAGTCAATATGAAGCAAGCAATCATCAATCGCGGAACCGCACCAAATATGAATATAAAATGAAAAAACCTGGAATCCCCTATTACTACAAGAAATCGTGCACATCGTTCTTTCCACCGCCTCTCCCCTTCCGACCAGCCTTGCCTGCATTTTGTGTTGTCGTTGACATGATGGATGATATCTATGTCACATTGGTTTCCATCTTTACTCAACTTTCAACACCTCTAATTCAAAAACCCCGCCCTTTCCTTTCCTTTCCCCACCCCGCTTCGCCCCTCGCTCTTTAAATGGATGCGTGAAAATATTTATATTTATAATGCAGGTTTTTTTTTTGTGCGGTCATTCGAGGCGCGCGCGAGGTCATCGGAAGATCTCTATTTGTTCTCGGGGTAGAGATCCTCGACGAGGGAGATGCCCAACTCCTCGCGGAGATCCTTGAGCTCATCGAGGTACTGGTGGTACTGTTGCTTGTTCTCAACTTTGGCCTTGACGCCTATTTAACCGGTTTGGGTTAGTTCGTTTCGGACTTAAGGATAATTAAGCAGTGAGACATGGGTCTCATAACAGGGCAAATACCCTCGAAGATCCTCACGGCGGTGGGGAAATCATTAACACGTCTGGCGGCCTTGAGGGCGGCAATGATGACGGAGGGGGAGGGTACGAGATCGTAGGCGAAAGCGTTGTTGAGGTTGCGCTATATATCGGTTTCGTTAATATTCAAGAGGCATCGGATGAACATGCGACAAGGCTTATTTTTTTTTTTCTCCGAGAAAATAGGACTACGAACCTGAAGTTCAAAGACATCGTTGACATTCTCAAATTCCTTCTCGTACCTAGCGGGGTGGAAAATCAGACGTTAGCTGGGCTGACCGGTTGTTGCGCCTGACATCACCCCACACCACGAGAAAAATGGCCGAAAAACCAACGGTTCCCTCGGTTTATTGGCCAACAAACAATTGAAGTCCCGACGAGGTAGTTGACCAAATCGTCTTAGATATAAGGCTGAAGATCAGGAACCCTACCTAGCGGTGAACTCCTCGAAGCTCTCCTCGTGGGAATCGCTGTAGAATCTGATAGCGGAAGCCTTCGACGCAACAGTGGGAACCACAACTCTCGGAACCTGGGTCGAGGTTCTCAAGATTGGCCTAGCGGCAGAGGAAGCGATACGGAGGAAAGAGGCCATCGGAAAGTCGTGGTCGGGGAGGAACAAGACGAAAAATGGAATTGGGGCGGAGGGGAGGGTGTGCAATTGAGCGGATACGGGGTCTGTGATGGATTCGGCTGTCGTGGGGAGATGGAAAGGCGGGATTATGCAGTGGGCTGAGGTGAGAGGTTGCACTATCGGGGTGGGCTTTGTGAGGGGTGATACGCCGAGAGGGGGTCTTTCGAGGAACGGGTAAACTGCACTTGCTTGGTTGGCTTGGGTTAGACCGTGAGGAGTTTTGACGAGGATCTTCAAGGCTCACGTGACCCCACGCTGCTCTAACAGATTTCCCTCTTCGGACTCTTTTTCATGTCATGCAGGCTCCAGAGAAACAAGTCGGGATAGACACCGACCTTTAAGGAATGGCTCGGCAGAGGCGCATGGTTCTGGGCAAACGCGTAACTCTGGCTGGCATCTTGGTAAATGTCACGTATGTGTTCTCGAACCTCTACTAACGCAGGAGGCACTTTGCGATCCAAAACAACTGAACCCTCCCCAATCAAATCAACTACCTATCGTGTTGAAATTCCGGGGGAAGGAGATTTTTTTCAATTCCTCAATCGATGTACCCAGAGAGATCGCCCAAAATCAGATGTGTACATGTATCTAGATAACCTTTTTTTTAAACTCCCGCAATCAGTGAGGTAGTCTGCCTTGTGATAGGTAAATAGACGCAACCCTAGGGTCACTGTCGGGGTTTCGCATGCGCGGTATGCCGAGTACCAATGGTTTTTGAATGAAATTTCTGGTATTTAGAGTGATTTTCACATGCTTATTTCATGGACGGAAGAGCAGATGTAATTCAAATCTCACTCTGCCTACTTTCGGATGCGGAGGAGCTTTTTAGGTGGGCGAATGAACGAGTCTACGCCGAATGAGCACGTGTGAGACCTTCCCCCTTTCCAGCCGCAGATTCGTGCTCTTTTTCCTCTCTCCCCCTTCGCAACCCAGGCAATTGGCTACGATAATATCTTCCACCGCTCCCTTCTCTTCTCCTTCTTTCCCTTCCATCTTCCTTCGCTCTTCACTTCCAGCCTCCTTCTTTCCCCTTTCCTCATCAACACCGAGGGTACCCCAAGGGACTCGACGCTTTTAATCAACGGCTTTCCCCCCCTTACGTTCTTTCGTTCCTTATCCACTACCACCTTTTTCTGCTCTTGCAATCCTTCGACCATAGTAATTAATATACAAATATCACACTCCTTACGCCATGCCAGTATCAGTGGACAGCCTCATGAAGGCCATAGACATCCAGTCACCTAGCATTGACAGGCCATTTGGTATCCACCTATGGCCCCTATTTGATCAGCTATACACGGCGGCCACCGGAACATCCGCGAATGATTTCGTATTCCAGCCTGGCGTGAACCCGATCTCGACATTCAAGGATAGTGTATGCATAATCGCGGCTTACTATGCAATCCTCGCCGGTGGATCGTTCATCATGAAGGGGCTACCCGCCTTTAAACTCCAGTTTTTGTTCCAGATTCACAATCTGGCTTTGACAATTGTATCCGGAGGACTATTAGTGCTCTTCATTGAGCAGATTATTCCTACGCTGTACAATAACGGGCTGTTCTACACGATCTGCAATGTCGGGGGTGGTTGGACTCAGCCATTGGTCCTTCTGTACTACGTATGTTATACGCGTCCAACTATTTTAGGGTACTTGTTGTGG